ACACTTTTTTTGGTTACTACATGATTCCATGTGTTATTTCATAGTTTTGATGTCTTCACTATTATTCTACAATGTAGAAAATAGTAAAAATAAAGAAAAACCCTTGAATGAGTAGGTGTTCTAAAACTTTTGACCGGTAGTGTACCATATTGCCCCTCCTACTCAATAACATAATGCTGAGTACGACAAGCTCTTTGAACAAACAGGGTTGAGCAACAATCATTCTCATAATCATACAGTTCATAACAGATTCCACGTTTTGATCATAACCATTTGAAACATGTCAAGGTGTGTAAGTAATTACCTCTTTCTAACCTGGCGACAAACTATCTTCTCATTGCCACTATAACTAGGTCTTTGATGTTAAGGAAGCCCGTTCTTTCTTGAAACAGCATTTAAACACAGTTTTTTTTTTTAAACACGACAAGAGTCATGACAAACATTGCAAAGAGCAGTTTGGAGGAGGATCACTAACTATTTGAGGAGGCAAATAAATTCAGAGCCTTGATTGAACTTCTGATAACTTGGTATGCCTACATCAATTCTCAACTGGCACATTTACAACTCTACATCACAGCATAGTGTATTCCACACCCTCCCAAGTTTATAAGGACTCACTCATTACATTTTAGTCATTTTAGCAGACGCTCTTATCCAGAGCGACTTACAGTTAGTGAGTGCATACATTTTTCCTACTGACCCCCCGTGGGAATCGAACCCACAACCCTGGCGTTGCAAGCGCCATGCTCTACCAACTGAGCTACAGAACTATGGTGATTAATGACTCATACTACACATACAGTGATCCTCTGATTAAACCAGAGGGAGACAAAGGAGTAGCAGACTAGAACAAGGCCAATAGAACCAGGCTCAGGAGGTTTATTAACTTCAGGACAGGGTCATTATACCCACACCTGATTAGGCCAACTGGGCCAGGCTGAGCTGAGCTGACAGGCAGGGTCCTGGGACCTGCTCCATTGCTTAGGTAGCTCCATTGTCCCATGTGCCCCTCCTGATCCGTGGTGGGCAGAGGAGGCTATGGGAAACAGCGGGCCCATGAAAGCACCATCTGTGGCGGCCTGGGCCCAAGAACAGAGGGCTTCAGTCAGCAGGGGCCGTCAGTCGATCACCTTTCACTCTCTCTGCTGCCATATAATCCCAGGGCTACTTTTCACCACCAGCTGGCTGCCTGGGAAACATCCAGGCACAGCACGGAGCAGGTAGGGAGCCACCCAGATAAAGAGACCAGGCCAGCCGCTGAGGAACCTCTCTGGGCTTGCTCTGGTTCCCCCTCCTGCCCCTTCACCCATCAACTCAGATCCTCCACCCCCAGGCCCCGGACCCATACCGGAGGGAACAGCAGGGAAACAGACCACTTCAGCGGCAAGCTTCTTTGACAGGGATCGGTTTGCTCAGTGTTGGTTTATGTAAGAGTTTCTAAAATGCTATTGCTATGAGGCTGTACAGATACAAAAATCATCATAGTAAACATGTCACTTTCAATGACTAATTCTTGTACGCACTCAAAATGTTCCCTGATTTTTAGCTAGTTTCTCAGAACCAGTACTCCATTTCTAAAGGCTTGGACAGATACACATAAACAATCCTTACTTTATTACAGTAACTGAAGTGGTCATGAAATCATGTAGACAAGATGGACCTACTGTACAGTAATATGGAGTTGGTCCCCCCTTTACTGCTGTAACAGCCTCCACTCTTCTGATAAGACTTTCCACTAGATATTGGAACATTGCTGTGGGGACTTGCTTCCATTCAGCCACCAACACCACGGTTGTAGGCCTGATCACTGACAACGATGAGACAGCCTATAGGGAGGAGGTCAGAGACGTGGGAGTGTGGTGGCAGGACAACAACCTCTACCTGAACGTTAGCAAGGCAAAGGAGCTAACTGTGGACTATAGGAAACGGAGGGCTGAACACGCACCCATTCACATCAACGGGGCTCTAGTGGAGCAGGTCGAGAGCTTCAAGTTCCTCGGTGTCCACATCACTATGGACCTATCACCAACACAGTCGTGAAGAGGGCACGACAACGCCTCTTCACTCACAGGAGGCTAAAAAGATACCGGAGCGGTACCGGAGCGCCAAGTCTGGGACCAAAAGGCTCCTGAACAGCTTCTACCCCCAAACCATAAGACTGCTGAACAGTTAATCAAATGGCTACCCTGACTATTTGCATTGACTCCCTTTTAATTTGCACTGACTCTCTTGCACCGGCTCTATGCACACTCATTGGACTCTCACACGTACTACACTGACACTCCAACACACACACATGCTTATTGACGCCACACACACCCTCACATAGACAAACCTTTACACTCTTCACATACGCTGCAGCGACTCTGTTTATTATCTATCCTGATTGCCCAGTCACTTTTAGCCCTACCTACATGAACATATTAGATAATTTACCTGTTGTATTCAGCGCATGTGACAAATACAAAAGGGCAGGAGGACGACCTCCACTCGTGGCACAGCCACCATGTATAAGAGTTTGTGTTCTGTTATAGTTTACCAGTTACCACCATACAAGGGGGTATATAGCTCTACAATGACAGAGCCCCTGTAAACACAAGGTAAGAGAGGCAGTGAAGCATGCTGGAGAGCTAAATATCATCCATTCTGAGGCCCCTACAGCAGACCAGGCTAACCACAACAGCAGCAGGTGTGAATACCTGAGTGAAGGAATTATGGATCACCTATAGCAGACATACCTATTCTCTTCTGAACACAATTCATTGAAATATAGTTAGAAGTTGGTTGACACCTTCATTCCTACTCTAATGGACACTCCTTAACCTTGGGACACTAAAAAGCTAAATCAGCCTGAAGTGGGCCACTACACGACCTGTCCATAGGCTCTCAGAGACCAATGTTCCCTCAAATCTTTTGGGCACTGAGCAAATTTTAGGTCTTGTGAGCGGAAACATCAACGTTGTGACAATTTTGTGCAACTTCCGGTGCGCGTTTACAGTGAACACTGAGGCTGTACCCTTACAGTTTTAGACAGTAGCTAATAGGCTATTGTGGCTATTTGAGCATAATGTAGGCCTACCAACAAAACCAATGGAGTAAATCCCCTATTATTTTCACATGGAAATAGCTTTTGATTTATATGATATAGCCTACAGTAGCCTATATGTAGTGTTCAATGCAGGCCTACATTGCATGAGACTTTTAAAAATGTTTTTACATTATGACGGGCTAGATATTAATTAAAGATTTTTTACTTGGTCTGTGAAACCATGGGCCAAATAGGTGACTGTAAATCGCATTGTATTGTGTTGTATGGTGCAAGAAACCACTTTACAAAATACAATTAATGATTATTACCATACAGATAATCAGACAATGTAGGCTACCCCTCTGCCTATTGGCTTATTTGCATATTCAAGCCTGTCTCAAAATACAACTCTGCCCCTTTAATTAAAACATCAGCTTTTTATCTGACTGGCTTTTCAAAGACAGCTTGAAATATAGCCTACACATTTTGTGCTTTTGTAGGAAGCAGTAACTCCCCATTGCTGACCTATACTTCTCTATAACTGGGCTAATAACTTGCTAACTAGCAAAGAATACCAAGAAATGTGCACACGCGCAGCTCTGCGCTCTGATCTGAAAAGCGCATTCACTCACGGGTGATTGAAAGACTACTAGAAGGCTACCCTCGCCAATAGAATTCTACTCCTTTGCGCTCTGGCTCTGACTACAACAAAATCAGACTCAATCTTGCAAAGTTAGATTTGTTTTGTTGCATTAAAAATGGGCTAATATAATGTTGATTCGATCACAGAAAAAAACATTCATCTATATAGTGCAAACTAATGGGGCGAACTTGGTAAAGTTAAATCTCTTTCGTCTCTGCGCGGCCTGGCATTTCTTCTACGCGGCAGTCCTGGAGGAGGTGCGCGGCCTGGCATTTCTTCTACGCGGCAGTCCTGGAGGAGGTGCGCGGCCGTGCGCACGCAGCTTAGAGGGAACATTGGCCAAGACCATGACATACCTTCCACCATGAGCATGGGCTCCTTCCCTCCCCCATGGGCCAGCATCTCCCTACGGTAGCGCTCTCCCATGTCCCTTGGGGAGAGAGAGGAGAGATATAAGATTACAGCCACATGTATTCTCCTCCAGCATCTCCTCTTCCCCACCCTGAACCCTGAGAGCCCTGGGCAAAGTCTCAGCTCTCCCCTCACAGGGCTGATGACAGGAAACAGAGGTTCGACAACCACAGGTGGAACTAAAACAATGTCAGAGGGAAAGGAGAGAATGGAAGACAGAGAGAGAGAAAAAGGGCTGCGGGGCTCAAATCTCTGAGGTGAACCTCTAAACAAAGCCTCTGTGAAGTCAAAGTCAGAGCCGAGCCGAGCTGATAGGGAGGGCTGTGGGGCTGTGTAATGTGGATGCTGGTGGCTCTGACTGGATTACTGTACACACCTGCCAAGCTGGTGTGGATTTCATATTAATGTCATGCTCAATGTCAGGCTGAGAGACTTAACACAACCCAGGGATGGTTGCTTGTCAGAGAGCATTTGCCTCGGTCTTCTTGGAAATGCAAACAAGTTTATACCTTCCAGTCAAATGTACTGTGACTTTCAGTGATATAACAGACACACTGTACTATCATTGACTGTAGCATAACAAGTTCCCGGTGTGTGATTAGACATGGCAAAAAAATCTCAAGGGACACACAAAAATACATCACCAAATGGTCCTGATATATTTTGACATTATTAATAAAAGGTCTGGTTTCACCGATTTATGACCGCCTCGGAGGAAGTTCATCGTTTTGCTACAGTAAACTGTTTTCCCCCCCCGTAGGGACACTGCATTTAGGTTAGTCATACCCTGCATTTCGTCATACCCTACATTTCGTCATACCTATAAAAGTCAAGTAAGTGCTGCAGACAGCCATGCCTTGATATTGTGTGTATTTCCTGATGAAGTTTGTGTGAGGACACGCTGAATGGCTCTCAGGCTCACCTGTTTAAAGGATCCTGAACAAAGCACTGTTTCCACACCATGGAGGCCACAGCGCGGGACATGAGATAGGAGTAGTACTTGGCCCCGTAGCCAATGAGGTGGCTGAATCTCAGCTGCCATGCCTGCAAAGGAAAACAAACCATTTCACAAGAATTAATAAATACCCAATAAATAACCCAAATTAAACTGGCTTTCAACAGGTTCCACTGTTTATACCACGATTTCATAAAGACCACCACTGTAGGTATACTGACAAACAAACATTTGAATGCAATTATCTTTCCTTTTTTTTTTTATTGCTTAATTCATGACAAAATGAAACATTAAATGAGTTTGTTTCTACTATGCATGGTGAAAGTGAATTTTGGAGAGCAAAGCCAATTCAGCTTTGAAGGCTTAACTGTTCCCACTCATAAAGGTTGCTGAAGGAAAAGACAAGCAGAGACATTCTTCTGTCATCATCTACTTCCCCCTCAGGAAAATACCTAATATTATTTTGGGCCATTAAAGAAAGTCTATTGAAGTTTGTTCTAGTTACTGTCTGGTCACTGTTTTGTCTGCTTCAAAATGTATGCTACCGTTCAATTGGCCCATGATTAAGTCTAATACAAACTTTGATTGAACTGTATACATTTTACTTCAAATCTTTTACTTTGCTTTTAAAGGAACAAAACATGGAAATTCCTAAATGGCAGAGTGCATACTTTTCCTTTTCCCCTTGTTGCCTAGAGGGTCCAACTTCCTATCTATAAAGACAACGTGCTCTATGAGCAGGCCTGATTTGGGACTCTGGGGAAATTCACCTGGCAAACATTCAAACCATCAGTCAGTCAGTCAGAAAGCAGCAGTGGAACAAAACTAAATTATACCCTAGTCTCCACGGTAGTTGTAAAACACAAATGCAAAGCTAAGTCCTGTAAGTATTGTATCAGAGCATTGAGCCTGTAATGCATAAGGAACCTTAAGAACCTTGCTAGATTCACATAGATATCACCAAATTAAGTTGCCCTAAGTACAGTGCCTTGCAAAAGTATTCATCCCCCTTGGCATTTTTCCTATTTTGTTGCATTACAACCTGTAATTTAAATAGATTTTTATTTGAATTTCATGTAATGGACATACAACAATAGTCAAAATTGGTGAAGTGAAATGAAAAAAAAAAACTTGTAAAAAAAAATTCAAAAAAATTAATAACGGAAAAGTGGTGCGTGCATATGTATTTGGCCTAAGACTTCAGCACCGCCAGTAGCCCGCCCCGTCAGCGCCTCTGCCCACTCTATGAGGATTGCATGCGTACAACTTCTTCAAGAATATGAGAGAAAAAAAAAGAAAACGATTTTAACGACGAAAAGAAGACAGTCATCCATACCATTCCTACCTGAGGACTGAAATTTTAACCTGTTTTGAAAGGATTGATAAAAAGACCCCCAAAAAAGAGGAAAAATGACTTCTCTTGTTACACTGAAGCAAGTTATTGGTAGAAGTTTTGTATTTAGAGACATGATAGCAGGGATGTTTTCATACATTATTTGTTTTTTTCAGAGAATATGCATATATACTTCATGGATATTTTTTTGTATTGCTGCTTGACTATATGCATTTCCAAGATAGAGGTTGAAGAGTGTGTGCATGTGTGTCTATTTCCCCCGCAAGGCTTTGGCTGGCTTTCCTCATGACTTTACCTGAATATTTTGGGGTAATCTTAGACAAGCTTTTATTTTGAAGGGGTGACTTTTAAGTCATGCATTACTCAGATGTTAAACTTACAATACATTTTAGTACCTTTGTACTAAATCTATGAACTGTGTTTTTAAAAGTCTAGTGACTCCTTAAGCTTAATATGTTTCTGCTTGTCATGCAGTGAAAGTTGATGCCTCCGGTTTCCTTTTTGGTTTCCTTTTATTTTCCTATTGATAGCTTGGCTCTTATTTTTCTGGTGGACCAGTGGTTGGTGTGCTTTATCCCTGGTCCAGATGTTACTACCTGTGTCTTTAGGGCAGCCATGGCCCAAATGTGTTTCTAGGCTGGTCCTTGTATGTCGTACAGGCTATACTAAGGACCTTAGGACCACTATGGACCACTATGCGAATATATTGTATTTTTTTGTGTCTATGTGTGTGTGTGTGTGTGTGTGAGAGAGTGATTGGGTTGAGTGTGAACAATAGTTACTTAAACACTTGAAGTACTCCCCTGCCACGAACTTGACATTCTCCAGGAACTTGACCACAAGTTCAAAGCAGCTCAGTTTGGCCTGAAGTAGTTTTTATTTCTGAGAACATAGTTGTTTCTATCTAGGTAAGATAGTGGAGTGTGGACATATCTTGCACTTAGAGTATTTGATAAATGTAGTATTCGTAGTCCTAGCTTTTAGAGTTTGGAAAGAACATGTTCCTATCAGCACCAGAACTCTGAAGTGAAGCGTGTTAGTTTTTTCCCCTCTTGTGATCATATTTGCTGTTATTTTTGTATTATTTTGTTATTACTACAGCAGCACTACTGCATAATTTGTCTGAAAGAAGTGGGCCGTTCAATGTGGAGAAATCGAGTGCTACAGAATGTATGACTGCTAATCGTGCTTATAGTCATCTGTGTCTTGCATTTCCAGGCAAGGTTTTATTGCCCCGTGTAGCTCAGTTGGTAGAGCATGGCGTTTGCAACGCAAAGCAAGGGGCACCACCAAGCAAGCAGCACCATGAAGACCAAGAAGCTCTCCAAACAGGTCAGGGACAAAGTTGTGGAGAAGTACAGATCAGGATTGGGTTATTAAAAAAGTATCCGAAACTTTGAACATCCCATGGAGTACCATTAAATCCATTATTAAAAAATGGAAAGAATATGGCACCACAACAAACCTGCCAAGAGAGGGCCGCCCACCAAAACTCACGGCCCAGGCAAGAAGGGCATTAATCAGAGGCAATAAATAGACCAAAGATAACCCTGAAGGAGCTGCAAAGCTCCACAGTGGAGGTTGGAGTATCTGTCCATAGGACCACTTTAAGCCGTACACTCCACAGAGCTGGGCTTTACGGAAGAGTGGTTAGAAAAAAGCCATTGCTTAAAGAAACAAAAATAAGCAAACACGTTTGGTGTTTACCAAAAGGCATGTGGGAGACTCCCCAAACATATGGAAGAAGGTACTCTTGTCAGATGAGACTAAAATTGAACTTTTTGGCCATCAAGGAAAACGCTATGTCTGGCGTAAACCCAACACCTCTCATCACCCCGAGAACACCATCCCCACAGTGAAGCATGGTGGTGGCAGCATCATGCTGTGGGGATGTTTTTCCATCGGCAGGGTCTGAGAAACTGGTCAGAATTGAAGGAATGATGGATGGTACTAAATACAGGAAAATTCTTGAGGGAAACCTGTTTCAGTCTTCCAGAGATTTGAGACTGGGACAGAGGTTCACCTTCCAGCAGGACAATGACCCTAAGCATACTGCTAAAGCAACACTCGAGTGGTTTAAGGGGAAACATTTAAATGTCTTGGAATGGCCTAGTCAAAGCCCAGACCTCAATCCAATTGAGAATCTGTGGTATGACTTAAAGATTGCTGTACACCAGCAGAACCCATCCAACTTGAAGGAGCTGCAGCAGTTTTGCCTTGAAGAATGGGCAAAAATCCCAGTGGCTAGATGTGCCAAGCTTATAGAGACATATCCCAAGAGACTTGCAGCTGTAATTGCTGCAAAAGGTGGCTCTACAAAGTATTGACTTTGGGGGGGGTGAATAGTTATGCATGCTCAAGTTCTCTGTTTTTTTTGTGCTTATTTCTTGTTCGTTTCACACAAAAAAATCCTTTGCAACTTCAAAGTGGTAGGCATGTTGTGTAAATCAAATGATACAACCCCCCCCAAAATCCATTTTAATTCCAGGTTGTAAGGCAACAAAATAGGAAAAATGCCACGCGGGGTGAATAGTTTCGCAAGCCACTGTAACATCCAAATGTGGGCCCAGATCTTTATAAATTAATGAGTGACTTTATCTTGCTATTTCATCCCTGACTGTGCTCTTTACCGTACCGTCTTGAAGAGGTGAGAGAGATAAGTTGAAAGGGGCTAGTATAAAGCACCCTGTACTCTGCCTTTGAGAGAGGTGCTGCTTATTTAAACAGCGGGCAGTGTGAAAAAGTTATCCAGGCTGGGCGGATGATCCTCTAGCGTGAAACAGGCGTAAGCCGCAAAGTGTCTGCATGACGGGTCTCATCTGGGTCCTAATGACTTTAATAAGGCTAAACAGTACTCCTGACAGAGGCAGTACAATGGGGAAACCAAAACATTGGGAAACTGAGCACAAATCATGAGGAGAGAGTTCAACAGCCGCCCGGATGGCAGTACCAGAGGCCTATAGCAGTACCAGAGGCCTATAGTAGATATGGGGTCACCCGGTTTGAATTCACCTCATCTTGCTGTGGCAAGACATCTCCAACTGTATAAAATGTTAGTATTTTTTATTTTACCCCCCTTTTCTTGTCTCATAACTACAGGTATGACTGAAAGAATGGCTGAAACTTTGAGATGGACAGTGAACACTCAAACAAATCACTTCAGACACCAGCGCTCTGCTTTATTTTTGATCCCTCTGCCTGCCTCAAATGTTAGAAGTCAACTTTTGAGAAGGTCATAGCCCAGTCAAGTTAACATCTCAGCGAAAGATCCCTTTTGATCCACACAGACAAACACACGGAAAGTCAGTGCAGCACTTCACTCTGTTCTCCTGAGTATTAGACAAAAGGCACGCTTGTAGACCAGGCTGCTAGGCCTTTGTTCTGGGTGCTAGGGATCAACACTACGTTCTGGGTCGAGTATTTATGTGCAGGGGTAGGCCTATGCATCATCCACACAGCACTACTCATAAGAAAATAACATGTCTCGACTCTCTAGGGCTCAGAGAGAACAGATAAAGGCAAAGAATCATCAACACGTCAGATTGAATGTCATGCTTACTGCCATTTTCCAAATATTATTATCGCAGGCCCAGGGCTTTCCATTTGGTCCATGTACTCAACAACAGCTGATAGTCTTTCTCTCCAGTCAGAAGTGATACCCTTGGTCTATAAACCATACACATGTCACAATCACCCCAGTGTTTATCATTTGGGTCTCTCTGTAACCTATTAGCCATTCAAATGTTCAGTTTAGTGTAGAACGTTTTGCTTCACTGATTTTTTGCGAGGGCAGGGAGAGAAGAGAACAAAAAAACTGAAATATGGCCCTTTTAGGAAAATATAAACAAATCTGTTTTCACTTGCTCCAATCCCCTGACTGATCCTTTAACAATACAATAAAGATTTTTGTAAGTGGGGCTAAAAGGAGGGAAACTACTCTTCCATAATAACATATTACATTAAAGAAAAATTACCCAGACAGGAAGGAAAGTATATAACATTAACCACACTCCCTTGAGAGGTTGGTTGCTGCATGGATAAAAGTGGAAGTATGACTTTTAGCGAGGGTAAAGCAACTGTGGCTGGTAAGCTCAATTAAAGACGGTGGAATATAGTTCTGACTGAGTGCTCTCTATTCCCGATGGCCCACATCATTATAGATGAGGATAAATGCCTTATGATGACCATTCCTGTTAAATGATGGCTGTGTTTTACATTCTCTATTCACTCCTGGCTTTCCCCACCCCCCTTTTTTTCCCCCATTAAAAAGGACCACAGAAAGAAGAGTTTCAAATATTTCCCCCAGGGAGTGCTCATTCAAAGTATACCTCTGCTTTGTTATTTGAGCAGGGCCTCCAAAAAAGCTTTAATCCCTTAAACGGTGCTGCGCCTGGGTAAGAGATATAAAAACACAGAGCCAGAGAAGAATATCCAAAAAAATAACTCCCTCTCTTTCGCTCTGAGCTGTTTTTGTCCCTCTGTTGCACGGGAGAAGGCAGACACTGTGGTAACGTTTTGGGGATTAGGCAAAGAACGTCCCCCCAAACATTAATTAACTGTAAAGGCTGTAATTGAGCTCATAATCAAAGTTCTATAGACCACCAACTCAGTGAAGGCAAAGAGCATTTTGACACCGAGGTACCCACCGTGTTTGGCGTGTACGGTAGGCCGTAGAATTTTTGCTGCATGTCCTTTAAGATATCAGTCGTTGATCGGTTTTGGGGTTTTCCATGATAAATTTGATCCAGAGCAGAGTAGAAGATCTGTCCACAGAAAAAATAAACATGCTGAATCATTCATGTAGTTACATGTTAAACCTTCAAAATGTTCCCAAATATCCCACTTGAGTTAAGGCATTTTCTGTTGCCTGAAAAAGGCTGATATCTCTACACTTATCTATCATCAAATCACTCACTCAAAGCACTTACAGGACCCTTATGTCCATTGTGTTTAAGTGAGTTTTTAAAGCAACGGTAACAATATAGGATACCTTGTTAAAGAACTACTATAAAGATTAGCAGATAACAGTTAACAGTGTTTGCTGCCGTGCCAGAACATTTTAAACTAGCAAAATGTTTTGTCCTTGTATTGTGCATTTACATGAGAGTTCAGTGTCAACGTGACCAATGAGTGTCAATATTTTTTGTATGTCAGGGGGATTTACCTGTAGTTGAGTGTCTGCCGCACCACACACCTTTTTGGACTCACACAGACGAGCAACCATGCTCTGAGGCAGAGGCTGCAAAACACAAAGACATTCATTTCTCAGCAGAACTATAGCACCATATCTTTACAGTAACCCATCTAGGAACACTTTATTTATTTATTTTTTAAATGGCCTTGTAATCAATTTTCAGTCATCAACATGTTGCCATAGCAAAATGGTGAGTTTGTGTACCTGTCCTGTTTGATAATGGCGGGCAAATTGGTTCACTACACGATAATCAGTGGCAAAGTACTCCATGAGAATAGAGGGGACCTCCGCAAAGTCAGTGGCACATCTGGTTCCTGAGAAGACAAAAGCACAGTCTCAAGTTGCTACTTTATTTATCTATTTTATGTAAGTGGATATCTCTCTCCATGAAATGGACATATTGAAGCATCTTGAGTTACTTGCTAAGGCGTATCCCTAGTCTGTATCTAACAAGTAAAGGAGCATGCAATCAATCCAATGATAACCTGTGTGGATTTCCTCACCAAGCCGTAGCATTCTCAATTGGATTTAACAGGCCATTTCAAGTCTCCACACCATGACTGGACACAGCATCTACGCATGCCATTCTAACCTGTGACCATCATTATAAGATGCAGTGTGCGTAAAATGTCATACACAACACCACCCACTACACTAGGAGAGGATGAAACCATTAACACTGAAATCAATCCTCCTCACTATTAGGCCTATCGATTTGAGAGAGCTTTACATACAGTCATTCCCATATTATTATTCACATTAACAGTACAAATACATAGGGGCAATACCACGGTAACAGAGTGATGCTGAGACTCACATTTTTCAAAATGTATGTCAAACAAAAACCAATGATTGCAAAGTTAAACAAACCATACAACTCTATGCACAAGGACGATTTGGACGTTTCAGCATCACTCTGTTACCGTGGAATTGCCCATAAGCACGATGCCAGGCTAAAGCTGCTAAAGTTAACTGTTCATCTCTGAGAACGTCAGATGTGCATGGTTGACCTGTGATGTGTTGGTAGCGCGTGCGCCCTAACATGGAGTGCATGGCATGGCCCATCTCATGGAATAGGTTCTCCATCATGCTCGGTGTGAGCAGGGTGGGGGCGCTCTTGGTAGGGTGGGGCAGGCTCAGCATCAGCTCCACTACAGGCAGCTGGTACTGTCCGCTCTCCTGGCACTGCCGCCCACCGCGGATAGTGAAGTGGCAGTCCTGAGGAAGGGAGAGACAGATCATTGAGGCCCTGTCTTGAAATACACTCTATATACTGCTGGTTTCAAGATCAGTGCCACAGGGCCATAGATACTTTTTTATTTTGAACATGCTAGAAACAGCAGGCATGACGGAATTTTGAACTACTGAAAGTGTTTTTGATCTACTGAAACTCATGTCATCTTTAAAGAAAGGCAGTTGTGCTGCGGGCGTGGCATGTGAGGCTCTGTCTACCTGGTGGGGTTTATTTGCTCTGTGGAAGAAGTCACAGTAGATGTATCCCAGCAACCCCTCTGTCTCATGAACTACAGCCTGGACAGGAAGTGACACAAACAAGTAAACTTAGGAGATCACACCATAGAAATACAATTTAGACAGAATATAACCACAGCAAACAAATTAAAGCTTCAACACTAGGAACATTTGAATAGTTATACGAGGGTTTTTTACCAGTTTGCGGACATCATCATTCCACACCTCTCCTGCACTTGGATGTTCGGACATGAGAGAGACTCCATAGAGCTGGGTGAAGAGGCTGTTCAGGCCCTCCATACAAGACCCCAGGGAGAAGTAGGGGCTGTAGAGGCTGGGCTCAATGTTGAACCTGCAACCAAAACACAACCACAAAATGACATGAAAACACTTCAGCCCAATCCCAATTGTGTGGCAGTGACAAGCTACTGTAGACGATTGCAGGAATCTCATGCTAAAACCAAATGGGCATCTATTAGCAAGGTTCTGTAGTTAATTCTGGTGCTTTACAGATTCCTCTTATTTTCCCCCTAAAGCCACCTGATGCTCTGATTAACACTTGTCATGCTGACTCGTCGGACTAACACTCTCAGACTAGGAGATATAAAAGGGGAAGCCCTATCAGTTGATCTGCAAGGCTCCTGTCAATCTTGGGGAGCATGCACATTTATTCACTTCTGGTGTGGACAAAGCAAATCATTTGAAGGAAGCAATGCCTGCACTGGAGGCACATCCAAATGTCACTTGAATTGAATTAAAACCAGTGAGAAGCCCTTTTCCTACGCCCAGCTTTACAGACATGATTACCATGATGAGGCGCACAGCTTCACATGATGTGGCCTCCTTGCTTGTTGTACAGTGCATTCGGAAAGTATTCAGATCCCTTGACTTTTTCCACATTTTGTTACGTTACAGCCTTATTCTAAAATGGATTAAATAAAATAAAAATCCTCAATCTACACACAATACCCCATAATGACAAAGTGAAAACAGGTGAAATTTTTCTGTGCAAATGTATTAAAAAGAAAAAAGGATTCAGACACATTCGGACTCGAAATTGAGCTCAGGTGCATCCTGTTTCCATTAATCATCCTTGAGATGTTTCTACAACTTGATTGGAGTCCACCTGTGGTAAATTCAATTGATTGGACATGATTTGGAAAGGCACACACCTGTCTATATAAGTTCCCACAGTTGACAGTACATGTCAGAGCAAAAACCAAGCCATGAGGTCGAAGGAATTGTCCGTAGAGCTCAGAGACAAGATTGTGTCGAGGCACAGATCTGGGGAAGGGTACCAAAACATTTCTGCAGCATTGAAGGTCCCCAAGAACACAGTGTCCTCCATCATTCTTAAATGGAAGAAGTTTGGAACCACCAAGACTCTTCCTAGAGCTGGCCGTCCGGCCAAACTGAGCAATCGAGGGAGAAGGGCCTTGGTCAGGGAGACTAGTCAGGATCGAGGGAAAGATGAACAGAGAAAAGTACAGAGAGATCCTTGATGAAACCTGCTCCAGAGCGCTCAGGACCTCAAACTGGGGCAAATGTCCATCTTCCAACAGGACAACGACCCTAAGCACACAGCCAAGACAATGCAGGAGTGGCTTCGGGACAAGTCTCTGAATGTCGTTGAGTGGCCCAGTCAGAGCCTGGACTTGAACACGATCTAACATCTCTGGAGATACCTGAAAATAGCTGTGCAGCGACGCTCCCCATCCAACCTGACAGAGCTTGAGAGGATCTGCAGAGAAGAATGGGAGAAACTCCTCAAATACAGGTGTGCCAAGCTTGTAGCGTCATACCCAAGAAGACTCGAGGCTGTAATCGCTGCCAAAGGTGCTTCAACAAAGTACTGAGTAAAGGGTCTGAACACTTATGTAAATGTCATATTTCCATTTTTTATTTTTAATACATTTGCAAACATTTCTAAAAACCTGTTTTTGCTTTGTCATTATGGGGTATTGTGTGTAGATTGATCGAGGGCAAACATTTTATTTTGCAATTTTAGAATAAGGCTGTAATTGAACAAAATGTGGAAAAAGTAAAGGGGTCTGAATACTTTCCTAAGGCACTGTATCTGGGACAAAGTGTTTCTGTACATTCTGTGCTGTATTATTTAAGTGGTGTTTCACATTAAAAGAATACTCAGTAAACACTGTATACTATGTTTTACTCAAGTGGCAACAGTAAGCTTTTTCACCGACTGCTAATGGAATAATAGCAGTAATCATTTGATCTTTCCTAAAGACTACTAAAGGGAGTCATTTATACTATCTTGCACATGATGTACTACTGGGCCTTCATTTACCGTACATCATCTGAAACCCATTTCAGTAGAAGATGAACATTCTCCAACTCTGACTTCAGTAGGACCTGCAAACCACTAATGCTGCTGACTCCAGGAGAAGAGGACAGAGTCTGGGCAACAGGAGCCATGTAGCGGTGGTGGCAACTCTGGGCAACCAGCCATCCCTGGGAACCGACCGCATTCTAAACCCAACTCCTAACAACCAACACAGCACAGCACGGCATAGAACACCAAGGAGATGGAGAGGGCTGAGGGGAAAGTGAGTCGGAAACAGATTTTCCTCAGTTAAAAGGAGAAAAAAACGACTCTCCACCATCTCTCCCCCTCCTCAGACAGAGGTTGTGCCAAACTCCATTGTGGAAACAGCCAGTGAGTCCATCCCCCAGGACCTGGAATGTCTGCAATAAAGCTTTAATAAACCGTTAGACTTATTGGCCTCTGGTGAGCGCCTGAGTGGAAAAGCAGTTCATTAATAATGTCCGTAAAAAGACGACGTGAGACTGTCGCAAAACTGGAGATGCTAGATGTGACCAACTACATCTCCCATTCACTCAAATGTTCACAGCAGATTAGGCCATTCCACTTCTCCATCTGTGAATCATGACATTTATGATTTACCCTTGACAAAGAATACGCTTTCTTAACCGCCCAAAGCCCATTAAATCAGCATTAAACTGCAGAATATATTATGCATACTAGAACAATTGCATAGGGTCTCAACAGATAATACAAAATATTGTATATGCTATTGGAGAAATCCTTTCCCGACAGACTAAAATGGGATTTACTCCTGCAATGAGTTCAGGTTTAGGTTGAGTTGAATGCGGTCTGGGTCCTCACTGTATTCTGGATGGTTCTCATCTGCCTAACACATTCAAACTCTGTCTTTCTATACTGTAGCATGGCAACAGTGATTCAGGTTGCATATTCTAATCCATTGTTTTGGATATGTTCCATCACATAAGTCAAAATGACAGGGAACATGTATTACGGAAGGATAATTTGTTAAATTATATAAACGCAGAGGGGAAAATCATCAGGTAAAATGAGGTGACAGCGCAACTGAGCAAAGGAAGTTGTTCCGGCTCGATTGTATTGAAAAGAATAAACGAAGACTTACGTAGCTCCCATGCTTCTCTCCTAACACTAACGATTGATACCCGAGGAGGACCAGGTAAACAATAAAATGATGCGCTGCACTGAAATATGAAGTTGCCACCCACCCCAACTACAGACAGATAGAAATCAAACAGATTTATCTCATTGACAGTTGGCGGAGAATAACTGGATCAGGTGCTTTGTTTGAAGAATAGATCTAGGACTGTAATACTCACCTTTCAGCACGCAACACACCACTGAAGTATGGAGGGTCCCATGGCATGAGCTCCTACGGAAGATAAACATTATATTACTAATAGTTTGTGACAAGAATAAATAAACCACCACCATTTGTATTCACTAATTTTTTTGCACACGTTTTTTTCATCTCACTATGGACTCATATCTTTATATGTACATTGCTACATCAGCTAGAATATAAATATTTATAAAAGACAACAAAGCAGTATTTACCGCATTACGGGGGTTGAGTTTTGTCTTCATGTCTTTAATCATCTCAAAGTCTATTGCGGTTCTGTATGGGAAGAGATTTATAACGAGTGGCTGATGTGATTGCTGACTTCACTGTCAGGCCTAATTCAAATTCAAATAAATATGTGAAAGGTGTATTAATCTATTCAACAAACTATTATTTCTGCTTTATAGTAAATTCTGTATCCAAATAACTGGAAATCTGAAAGTTCCAGCATATAAATTAGAATTCAAACCTTTGTAGTTTTGTATTCTTCGAATATATATTTTCAAACCTTTCACTTCACTAAACTTATAAAGCTCTGAGCAATCCACTCTTTCAAGGTTATATCGTCACCTTGTGGTAGAGAGGATACATGTCAGCTATTCAAGACAAAGTGGAGAAAATATATTTCCTAATTAACCTTATAGTTATATAATGTACAGTGAGGGAAAAAAGTATTTGATCCCCTGCTGATTTTGTACGTTTGCCCACTGACAAAGAAATGATCAGTCTATAATTTTAATGGTAGGTTTATTTGAACAGTGAGAGACAGAATAACAACAAAAAAATCCAGAAAAACGCATGTCAAAAATGTTATAAATTGATTTGCATTTTAATATGGGAAATAAGTATTTGACCCCCTCTCAATCAGAAAGATTTCTGGCTCCCAGGTGTCTTTTATACAGGTAACGAGCTGAGATTACGAGCACACTCTTAAAGGGAGTGCTCCTAATCTCAGCTTGTTACCTGTATAAAAGACACCTGTCCACAGAAGCAATCAATCAATCAGATTCCAAACTCTCCACCATGGCCATGACCAAAGAGCTCTCCAAGGATGTCAGGGACAAGATTGTAGACCTACACAAGGCTGGAATGGGCTACAAGACCATCGCCAAGCAGCTTGGTGAGAAGGTGACAACAGTTGGTGCGATTATTCGCAAATGGAAGAAACACAAAATAACTGTCAATTTCCCTCAGCCTGGGGCTCCATGCAAGATCTCACGTCGTGGAGTTGCAATGATCATGAGAACGGTGAGGAATCAGCCCAGAACTACACGGAAGGATCTTGTCAATGATCTCAAGGCAGCTGGGACCATAGTCACCAAGAAAACAATTGGTAACACACTACGCCGTGAAGGACTGAAATCCTGCAGCGCCCGCAAGGTCCCCCTGCTCAAGAAAGCACATATACAGGGCCGTCTGATGTTTGCCAATGAACATCTGAATGATTCAGAGGAGAACTGGGTGAAAGTGTTGTGGTCAGATGAGACCAAAATCGAGCTCTTTGGCATCAACTCAACTCGCTGTGTTTGGAGGAGGAGTAATGCTGCCTATGACCCCAAGAACACCATCCCCACCGTCAAACATGGAGGTGGAAACATTTTGCTTTGGGGGTGTTTTTCTGCTAAGGGGACAGGACAACTTCACCGCATCAAAGGGACGATGGACGGGGCCATGTACCATCAAATCTTGGGTGAGAACCTCCTTCCCTCAGCCAGGGCATTGAAAATGGGTCGTGGATGGGTATTTTAGCATGACAATGACCCAAAACACATAGCCAAGGCAACAAAGGAGTGGCTCAAGAAGAAGCACATTAAGGTCCTGGAGTGGCCTAGCCAGTCTCCAGACCTTAATCCCATAGAAAATCTGTGGAGCGAGCTGAAGGTTTGAGTTGCCAAACGTCAGGCTCGAAACCTTAATGACTTGGAGAAGATCTGCAAAGAGGAGTGGGACAAAATCCCTCCTGAGATGTGTGCAAACCTGGTGGCCAACTACAAGAAACGTCTGACCTCTGTGATTGCCAACAAGGGTTTTGCCACCAAGTACTAAGTCATGTTTTGCAGAGGGGTCAAATACTATTTCCCTCATTAAAATGCAAATCAATTTATAACATTTTTGACATGCGTTTTTCTGGATTTTTTTGTTGTTATTCTGTCTCTCACTGTTCAAATAAACCTACCATTAAAATTATAGACTGATCATGTCTTTGTCAGTGGGAAAACGCACAAAATTAGCAGGGGATCAAATACTTTTTTCCCCTCACACATTGTGTTGATTTTGGCACAGCTATGTTTTTTGTCAAACTTGTATTAAGCGCTGTACCTTTCGGAGAGTTTGTCCGTCAGTAGCTGGAGGAAGTTCATCACAGTCTCTGTGGGCAGAAGAAAGGAGGGGCATGTTACAGCAGTCACACACTAAGGCTTTATCATTCCCAACATTAACAGTCTAGTACAGCTGTAGTGTAATATTTTAACTGGGTGACAGTTTTTGCCTGGGTGATTTATTCGTGTTTATTAGAGGGTATTGGTTGAATCATTCATTAATATAACCTGCTGGTAAACTTGGTTGAACAAGTATGTTCACTAACTTGGCGGTATCTGGCATTGATCTGGTCTAGGCTGAAATGGTAGTCATTGCTAAATATCCCTCCTTACCATACACTGAAGCACTACCAATGAGCTTCTACATATGAATCCAAAAAAGGCCAAAGATTTACTAATTGAAGGGAAATTCATTGTTGTAGACAGGAGTCAGGGACAGGGACAGAAGCATATTACCTGGGGTTTTGGCCATGGTTCCCTGTAAAGCTCTGTGTGCGTAAGACTCATAGCCCACCAGTTTGGCCAGTTTGTTCCGGCATTTCAACAGCTCTTCCAGACACTCCATCAGATCTGCATTTGGGTAGAGGAAAATCCTATAGGCAACCTCCCGAACCTGAAAAGAATGACATCAAAGCATGTGTTTCAGGTTCTTTACCCCTTATCCCTCCATATCCATCCCTATCACAGAGCAACCCTCCCAGTCATGGAGCATCAAATAAAATCAGGACAAATCAGGAAAATGCAGGACAGAGAGAGTCTGACTATTACACAGTAATAGCATTTCACATGTGCAATCTCTCCAATGTGTGCACAGCATTATGTGGGCATTTCTCCAGATAGTCAGACTGCAGCACTAGCAGCACTAGCAGCACTAGCAGTACTAGCAGCACTAGCAGCACTAGCAGCACAACTGGATATCATGTGAGATTGGCACCACCTGGTGGTAAAAGAGAGAAACATTTCAAATGAAAACACATACCAGGTCATTAGAGGACTCAGCGTGTAGACCCCCAATCTGAATGAAACTGCCCTCCGTTGCAAAGTGGCAATGAATGTGCTCAGGTATAGCTGACTTTGCTATTCTGTTTGGGAGGTGAGAGCCCATAAGAAACTCATTGTTTAGATCCAAGAGCTTGACGTGAAGCTTGACAGCCTCTTTTCGCTGCAAAATGTAAAAGTCAGAAAAGAGACAGTAAGGAGATGAAAGAAACGTGACAGGGGTGGCTATCAGCAAACTAAACACCAATTAAAAGGGGTACCTTACCAGTTTTTCATCCAGATGAATTCCACTGATCGCAAAGTCAAACATGAACAGCTCAGCCACTTTCCTAGGTAGACAGAAACATTTACATTATCTGAATGAAACTGTCAAGTCTACTCTAAATTAACTACCAGTAAAAGGATTTAGGTTAGAGAGCATACCTTGTTTCTGGGTCCAACTGAGCTAAAACTTCTTTGTTATCCAACAAATTCTTTAAACTTCTACAAAGGTCAACATTGGTGTTGAGTCTGTGAGATAAACAAACAGTGAAGAATCATTATGTAATATGCCACACAATAATATATATTCTACTAGACCTAGTTCAATGGCCCTTACTTTTCTACAACTGTGCCGATCTCTATACATGTCTTCTCTGCTGCCTCACGGAAAGACGGGTCCGGGTGTGCCACTTTCACAAAGTCAGCCTGGTTTGGGGAGAAAATAAGTGTACCTGTCAACTTACATTTATTGATTTTGACTCTATCCTGTGCTTTCAATAATAATAATAATAAATAAATATATATACACATACACACACAACCGGTCAAAAGTTTTAGAACACCTACTCATTCAAGGGTTTTTCTTTATTTTTACTATTTTCTACATTGTAGAATAATAGTGAAGACATCAAAACTATTAAATAACATATGGAATCATGTAGTAAGCAAAAACGTGTTAAACAAATCAAAATATATTTTATATTTGAGATTCTTCAAATAGCCACCCTTTGCCTTGATGACAGCTTTGTACACTCTTGGCATTCTCTCAACCAGCTTCATGAGGTAGTCACCTGGAAAGTTTATTTGTGGAATTTCTTTACTTCTTAATGTGTTTGAGCAAATCAGTTGCGTTGTGATAAGGTGTGTGGGGGGGGGGTCTAATTTCTGCAAAGAAACCATTACTAAAGGACACCAATAAGAAGAGACATGCTTGGGCCAAGAAATACAAGCAATTGACATTAGACCGGTGGAAATGTGTCCTTTGGCCTGGAGTCCAAATTGGAGATTTTTGGTTCCAACAGCCGTGTCTTTGTGAGACGCGGTGTGGGTGAATGGATGATCTCCGCATGTGTATTTCCCACAGTAAAGCATGGTGGAGGAGGTGTTATGGTGTGGGGGTGCTTTGCTGGTGACACTGACTGTGATTTATTTAGAATTCAAGGCACACTTGACCAGCATGGCTACCACAGCATTCTACAGCAATACGCCATCCCATCTGGTTTGGGCTTAGTGGGACTATCATTTGTTTTTCAACAGGATTCTCATATTTAAAATATACTTTGATTTGTTTAACACTTTTTTTTACTACATGATTCCATATGTGTTATTTCATAATTTTGTTGTCTTCACTATTATTCTACAATGTAAAAAATAGTTAAAATAAAGAAAAACCCTGGAATGAGTAGGTGTGTCCAAACATTTGACTGGTACTGTATATATTTATATATAATCTTACCAGGTCTGCCACTTTGCACAAGCCGTCTGAGAGTTGGTCAAAGGTCTCCACAGTAACAGCTCCAGGAGGGCTGCTGCAGACTTTATCCACCAGCTCCTGCGTGTCCTTCAGAGCCCTTTTAGTGGTCACCTCGAAGCCAGCAGGGGAGCTCAACTCTGGGACTCCAAACAAGCCCTATGAAGGATACCGTTTGACAACATTATGTGGGTAGGAATTTAAAATAATGTTACTAGTCTAGACCAAAAGCTAAATGAACTGAAAATTCTGACTATTAGCTAACGTTACTTTTCTTGACTGAAGGACAGAGCAGTGTTTGTAAAAACAGTAAATAGTGACAAGTGCTAATCAAAGACAGTAGTGTTTGATAACAAAACATCTAGTAGCTACATCACATAGGCTAAGATACATTTGGGATTACTGTAGTTTAATGAGTCGATTAACGTTTCACATACCACATTTTTTTCAAACAACTCAAGTCTTCTGTGAGGTTTGGCATTGAAGGCAGCTCCTACAGGTGACCAAGTGGTGACATTTCTCCTCCATATCGATGGCCATATCCCTCTGTGTTTTACAATGTAAAGCAAATGCTTGCAAGCTGACATGATAATGCACGTACGTTAATTAGCTAGCTACAGATGACTTGACTGACTGACTAACCCACTGACTCGGCTAGTAGTGTAAAGAGTGGAGAAGAGACTTAGAGGACATGCTAGCGAACGTTAACCACTAACTTAGCAAGCAATCCACTTTGAATGATGAGGCTGAACAATAAAGTTAAGTACTGGCAAGTTTTGTACACGCAAAATCCAGATATCTTCAGATGGGTTGTTAGCTAACTGTCCAGCGATAAACGGTAGCTATGTTTTTAGCAAGCATTTGGTAGAATTTGACACAGTCAAGCGAACAGCTTCCACATGTTAGCTAATGATTGGAAAACGCATTTTCGTGCTAAAGAAGAAAATAAATTGATCAAAATTATATTACCACATTTACTTGATCAACTTGGCACTACATTAATATTCCAAAATATGTTTGAATGGTGCTTTATGGTAGGCATAACTAAAATAATTGTTTTGCGTGTAACAAATACCATAATTTATACCGAAAGTGCAGACGGATTTATAAAATGGTTTATGCCGCGTTCATGTCCTGTCGGAAACCTGGGTCCTTCGGATTAAAATGAACGTAGGTTATTTGCGTAGAGCTTCCTATTGGTTAATTCTGAAGGTGTTTTCACATATAGTCCTCTTTAAAAGAAACGATCTCAGTCCTCTTTAATGTGAACTCTGGGGTAAAAAAAAGAAGCTAAATAACTCAGTTCTCTTTGTATTCACACTGCCCTTGCCTTTGAATGAGAACTCAACTCCTTTGCCAGTTCACTTCACCTATTTTGTGGTCCGAGTCCTCTTTGCATTCACATTGCTACTGTATGTTTAGAAAGGAACCAATAGGTTTTTTCCAACATTCACTCAATGCACTATGGGTTTTTACAAAGTGCAGGACAAGCCATTCCACCAGAATGTGTTATCGGACAGCTAGATATAATGAAGTCAAATCAAATCAAATGTATTCATAAAGCCCTTTTTACATCAGCAGATGTCACAAAGTGCTTATACAGAAACCCAGCCTAAATCCCCAAACAGCAAGCAATGCAGAAGCACGGTGGCTAGGAAAAACTTCCTAGAAAGGCAGGAACCTAGGAAGAAACCTAGAGAGGAACCAGGCTCTGAGGGGTGGCCAGTCCTCTTTTAGCTGTGCCTGGTGGAGATTATAAGAGTACATGGCCACTACTTACATTTTGGAAGCTAATAGATTGCATTTAGTTAAAAATATGATAATAATTGTAATCAAAATATACTATTAACATTTCAATATAATTGGTAACAGAATAAATAACAGAAGAATAACTGCAGATTAAATAATGCTGTAATTGACAATTGTACGCCCCATGTAGGCTACTGCCCCTTTAAGAGCTAGAATTGATTTTGTACCCTATGTTGTGATTCTCACCAAATATGTTGCTGTCTCCTCACAGTATTCAAACCCTACAATCAAATAAACAGTTTATGCAGCTCTCTTAGCCTATAGATCACATATTGCAAACAAATAATCTTTACTAAAAACTCACATATTTTGGAATTTCTGTGCATCCTTGACAATCACTAATCAATAGGCCTATCCAAAAACAGCACCCGTTTTTTCAGCGAACCTGCACATCATCAACTTCTCTCTTTTGTGGTACCAATGTGAGAGGGTTTATGGTTGGGGAAACGGTGTTGCAGTAGTCTAGTGTGTGGTGCGGGAATAATGACAAGCGAACCTGGGGAGCTTTGTGTTCACATTGCCCTAAAAAAAGGGAACCGGCTCCCCAGTGGGTGGGTGGGCCTATGCCCTCCCAGGCCCACCCATGGCTGCACCCCTGCCCAGTCATGTGAAATGACTAATAATGAATGTATTTCAATTGACTGATTTCCTTACATGAAGTGTAACTCAGCAAAATCTTTGAAATTGTTGCATGTTGTGTTTATATTTTGGTTCAGTTTAAGGAATGGTTAAGAATGCATAGGAAATTGATAACGCATACAAAGTGAGCCTTGAATTGTGTCTTTATTAACCAGAAAAAAAACAGCCCTCTTGCACTCCACAACTATACTGAGTACCAGTAACTTTTTCCTATGAAATCTGTTTGTATCAAAGTGTATGAAAAACATTAAGCAAAAATGTCAATGCAATTGCAGTTCAAGACCGCCGCAACACACAACTAAATTATGTGACTGGCAAAAAGTTAAATGCAGTTAAGTTCTCTCCGAAAATAAATGTAATACTGAGAGTACATAACACAGAACAACACTAGAATGTCTTCCCAATATGAGAAATCACAGTATTTTGCAATAAGTACTTTTTGGTTTCCTGTACTTGGCAAAAGGGTACCAATTTGTGACATGTGGCAAGACAATGCATTGTAATGCCATACAAAAGGAAAATTAATGCTCAAATTTAAACAAGTTTGCTACAGAGTGATCCTCAAACTTTTCAAAATATGTCATTCTCAATCCCATATATTTACACCTCATTCTATGACTAGAATACACACACACAACACAACATATTCCAAAATAAACAATGAAAGAAATGAAGACAAAAAGGGGGGAAAACTAGGAATTCAAATTTGTACTTTTGGCTCATATCAACAAGTCACCTCACAATACAGTAAAGGATAATTAATGTGGATTTACAAAGGAGTGTTGAAGTCAAAGGAGGGTGAAGTTGATTTGTTTTGTCTCAGTGAGTGTGCTTGGACTGAAACCGCCATCCTGGAAATTGTTCTTGTCCCTACCTACTCTAGCTCCCAAGACTGAATGGCTGAGACTACGGTAAACTTAGTTGACCCCTGAGTTCCTAATGCGAAACTAGTGTATGAAATACCTCTTTACACAGTGTGTTTCTTAGTGCAAGCCAGCAAAATATGCTTGATTAAACAGAAGTATATTAAGATAGCACCCAAGCTGACAACGCTCCCCCGAACGGTTATTTAGCTGGCCAAATCACAAAAGCAGAATGGGAGGTGGTTTGCGCTATATCTTGTGAAAACCAGCTATTCAAATGCTTGTATTCATACATTTTATAAACTTGTTTTTTTCATAGAAAATATAAATATCCCTGAATGAAACAGATTCACAGCATTTCCTCTTGAAAGAGCTACAGTGCTACTACCTTAATGTGGCGATCAAGTGTCTTCAAGGTCTCCAGTTAGTCTCTCTCTCTGGCTAAGCCTCTCTGACTAAGCCTTCATTCGCTGTCGTGATATGTCACCGTTCGTTTGCCGCGGTTTCGGGTCTTGATACGCGTTCCACACGCTCCTCTCTGGAATTCCGCGTACGGCTGGTCACTGTCTGCCTCAGAGGGGTCCCTCCGCCGTTGTCGAGAGTGGCGCGCGGCACCCTTGTCGCTGACCCTTGACCTCTTGTGGCTTTTTCTCTTTGGACTGCTCTGGGACCCTGAGCTGGCAGCGGACTTCTCAGAGGCAGAGGACTCTTCCTCCTCCTCGCTTTCAGAGGCAGAACTGTGGGCACTGCTGCTGCAGCTTTCCTTTTGCTTGCGTTTCTGTCGCTCCAAATGTCTCTTCTCCCTCGGACACTCAACCTCCTTCTCATCCTCTGACCCTGGGTGGGAAGAGGCATCTTCCTGACTATTACAGTGTTCGGGTTCAGACTTGGATCGAGATTCCTTCTTGGGATGCTTGGAGTTGGATCTTTTTGTCTCCCTCTCGTCCTGATCTTCACAGTAGCTCTTAGCCTTGGGCATGCACCGTTTCTTTTCATCAGGGTTGTCTGAGGAGTCTGAGGTGTAAATGCGTTTTCTCTTGGAAGAGGACTGTTGTTTTGTAGCAGCTGGGGAGGCTTTTCGTCGGTTGCGTTGATGTCCTTTATCTGAAACAGCATTGCTCTTCCCATTCTTACAACTGCCTTGCATCTCAGAGTTCAAGTCCTCCTCAGAGTCTTCATTGATGTATTTCTTTTTTGGTTGGGCTCGAAGGCAAGGCCGCCTGCTAGGGCTATGCTTCTCCTTCCGATCAGATTCTTCCTCTGAGGAAGCATGCAGTTTCCTCCTTGCTCTCCTGTTGGGTACAACTTCCTCCTCCTCGCTCTCTGAAACAGAGTCAGTGTGACTCTGTCTTTTGGGTTTGTTGTTGTTGTTTCGCAACTGACGTTTTTTATTGGATTCTCCCTTAGATTCATCATCTGAGTGGTTGCGGTCTTCTTCGTCTTCTTCCTCCCCATCTTCCTCCTCCTCTTCCGACTTCACTCTTTTCTTGCGAGAGCTTGATCTCTTTGGGGTGTCACTGAGTTCCTCTGATTCAGGGCCATCCTGTTTGTGGGTTGAGGCAGATGTTTGTTCTTGGCTTTTTGATGGTAATTTACTATTTTTCTCAGAGCCTTTAGGATGTTCTTTCTCCACCTTTCTCCCGTTTTGGTGAGGGTGCTTTTGAGCATTGTGGTCTCGGTATTCCTCGTCAGAGCTTGCCAGAGGTTTGTGTTGTCTCTTTCTGGAGCCAGACTTCTCCTCTGCCACATAACTGGTAATGCAAGTTCTACTTTTGCTCACTGCAGCGGTTGCCATGCTTCTGGAGGACTTCTGAGACACAACAGCTTTATCCTCTTTTTCTTCCTCCTCCTCTTCTTCACCATCAGAGCTCTCCTCCTCCTCCGAGTTACTGTCATGTTTTGTGCTGTGCCCATTTACATGAGACAAATAATCTGAAATAGAGATAGATACAAACATTAACACTACAGCAACAACTGACTAAACTTGGAGAAAAGGCAGAGAGAAAGTAGCCATGACTGTGAAAGTATTTACAGTATGCCTGTAGCTCTTACCTTTAACCCCTGTCCCTGCAGCTTGTCTGGTCGTCATGCGGCTGCTGGAGTTCTTACTCTCTCCATTCTGATGGCAACGAGAGGATGAAGCTTCACTCTCAATACTGTCCTCATTGTTCTCCCAATCACCCAATGTATCCTTGCCTTTTTTAGAACCTAGGGGAGAGAAAGCGTATGTTACCCAACAGTGTTGAAAATCGGTTCTCAAAGAATGCCTTTTGTGGCTCTGGTACAGTAGATCTGTGAACAATAATAGTTGATCCAAACCAGTCTAAGCTGACTGTGTGCTCACTCTGTGCTGATGACTGATCCTCTGATTCAGAGCTGCTCTGGATCACGGCAGTGCGTTTGCTGACTCGGGTCGCATGGCGGCTGCTTTTCCTCCTATGTTTGTCCTCTTCCTCAGAACCATAGTCTTCCTCAGAGGCTTCCAGAAGCTTCATCTTGTTGACGGCCGCCCTGGCAGTCTTCCTTTTCATTGTCCTGTGGCCCACATTCTCCTCCCTGTAGGTGTCTGTACCCTGGTATGGGGATCTCTCAGAGTCGCTGTCTAGCCGCCTCTCTCGCACACATTTCCTGCTGTGACCGTTCATCTGGGCACCTCTCTCTGGACACACACAGAGCACCAACAACTTTTTAATGGCTAATAATCATATAATAACTAAACTAATATCTGCTCTGTATGGCCAGTTTAGACCTTTAACCATAAGGGCATTTGCCTGACCACTCCCTGCTCTAGTTACCCCTCCTTTTCCCTGCTCTATGGTGTGATGGTGTTTACCTGGCCGTTTGGTGTGTTTCCTATGGGCAGCAGCATTGTTTCTGGTCAGCCTGGTGCTCCTGCTGCTGGACCTGCTTGGGAATCGGCGAGACAAAGAGTTGGACGACTTCCCACCGTCCTCACTCTCCTCATTGGAGGACTCCTCCTCACTCTCAGCAACTGAAATAAAACATAAAAACAGGGATTTTATAAGAGGGACAGAGACTAAGGGATGTCTCGCTAGCTGCCTTCTGCCAGATTTATGTGAAATCCTAACTTTTTGTAGTCTTTGCCCCATTGTTCCTGGTGACTCTTCTGGTTCCCCTGGTCTCTCTGCTGTGATGGTGCCGTGAGGACCCTGGGCGTTTCTCCTCTTCAGAGTCACTCATAGATAACTCACTCTCAATCTCAGAGTCTGACCCTGAGGAGGCTTCAGAAGAGCTGTGGCCTGAGCTGTCACTGTTGTGGCTCCTCCTCCTGGTTCTCTCAGGAGCAGACACTTTGGCTGAGGTAGATTTGGTCGTCGACGCCACTTCCACTTTTTCCTGAGTTTTTAGAGCAGCCCTCTTTTGACTGAAGGGAAAGAACAATATCATTAGAAGTGCTGTAGGTCCTGTGGACCACACAAGTACACGTCCCTAAGCCCAATGAGGTCTGTTGGCAGTAGAAGTGAGGCCTACTTTGTGGTGGTAATGCTGGGTGCAGCAGACACGTGGTGCTGAAGCTTCTTCCGGAACCTCTGGCTGCGGCGGAGCATCTCGCTGCTCTTGACGGCAGTTTTGTATTGCGATATGATTGTTCTGATTCGCTCTTCGAAGAATGCAGAGAGCCGCAAAGTCATACTGTAGATCTGGGGACAGAGGAGATACAAATCTGTATAGCATAGCAAATTGGCAGCAGGTCCTAGTCACTAGATTGATGACAATCCAGAACCTGACCAATGTTAAATGAAAAATCAACTCAATATAAGATTACTGAATTCTAGTTTTTGATTAAGGTATAAGGATTTCTTACACTGGAATCGCTTGTATGGTTTGGAAATGCAAGAGCTGAACTACCTTTGAGCGTTTGTTTGGTGTGAAGGCTTTAGCGTTGGCAAATATCAGACGTGTGTCTTTGCAGAGCTCCATGGGGTTTTCATAGCGGTCCTCCTCAAGGGTCCCCTTCACCATCCCAAAGTCCATGGGAGTGTCAATGATGCTAAGGTAGTCCTGCAAACAGACATGAGCCACAGATCAACAGTTCTGTCAAAGCTAGAGTCACTATTACAGTAGAACTCTCCGTGTTCTCTTACTGGGTAGGAGGTAGGATCCACAGGCTTTCGGAAGGGCTCTGAGTCCTCACACTCAAATACATAGTTCATCAGACGCTTGCACTGCCCCTTCCAGGAGTCCCGGTCAGGTACCGTCTCCACAGAGCGCTGCGGTGAAGGAAGACACATACATAAGATATAAGATAACATCCCAGCCACTTCCCTAAATTTTCATTGCTGATTTTAAGACAAAGATGTTCTGGTTTTTACATAATCTTTCATTACTTACCTGACGCAGTCTGTGTCCAGAAGAGGGGCCTGGTGCCTCTTCCAGGTCCTGGGAAAGACATTCAAATATCAGTTCATCCCAAAAGTTACACAGCAAGGTTTGAATGATTTGATGATCAAACCTGATTTACCTCATCATCCGTATAGTCCATGTCTTCAATAGCATTGTAGATCTCCATGATATCTGTACAGCTAGGTCGACTGAGGAAATAAAAAGGCAACATAAGTTGTTAAATACGGATACATTAATCTGTATAAGTTTAAGCTCAACACTTGGACAACTCACTTGATAAATTTTTGCAGGACATCTGTGATAAGTTTTGCTGAATGGGCTATCTTGCTCCTTGGCTCATTGAAGGTCCGGGCATTGTGCACAATGTATCTGGCATCCCAAACTAAAGCGGACAGTCGCCTGTAGAACCTATTTATCAGTCTCAGTCTGATGGTGCCCAAGTCTGTCGGGAAGGCTATCGCAGTGCAGTAGGTTGGATACTGAACTATGTCCACTGGGCCAGAGAATGGGGCTACAATATCTGTAAAAAATAAATAAAAAATAAGAAGTGCTGTGAATTTGAAATTCAAAACCTCACTAGCCCATCTAGGAATGGTATACAATGCGAGGTCTGCTGAGGAGGAAATAGCACCAAAATGCAGTGGTGAGGCGAGTGTGCTTACCGACGGTGATGAGTTGGTCAATGCCTGCTATGATGCGTTCACACTCGTCGTCTCTGCTCCTCTCACCCCACTCTCCTGTCTGCGGTTTATACATGACCTCTCTCATCTCCTCTGCGGTCACTTGAACCCCTCCACCTACAGACTCGGGTTGCTGGGCTGAAGAGCACACACACCATTGTTACCATACAGTCAATTACCAAATATTGTACTTCTGTACTAAGTCCTGGAATGTCCCATTTACAACAACAGAGTCTGTAAATTACCATCCTCTGGAATAGCTTCCACATCCCAAGGACTTAGCTTCTCCGTTTCACCATTGTCCCATCTGGCAACAAAGCAAAACCAAGCAAGTTAGAAGCATGCAATCCACCGCAGAAAGCATCAACCGTTGGGTACCATTTTGACTGGTTTCCAACATTGCAGACCCAATCATACTAGCACTTTAATACATTCTCACCTGACTTTGAAGCACTGGAAATGACTGTCCGGATATTCAGGCTGATATGGCTCCTGACAAACAATGATCCCAAACCACCAGGCATCATCTATTACTGACCGGAATCGGTCATCTGCAGTGAAGGATATTACCATTTTAGATGGGGGAAATGCAGAAAATATTGTATCGAAATGTTCACCCATTCATCTCATGCGTTACTGGACATTGAGTAGTTTGAGGAGCCCTGAGGAGAGACGTCTTGTTAACTTACTTGGCTGCCAGACTCTACTGCGTGCTTCGTCATAACTCTGCCGAAGCACGAGGAAGTCAATCACATCCGGCATGTCATGGTACCTGAGGGGAGGCGTACAGAAGTCCAAAGTTACCAAATGTCTCTGGTAATGTCTGTAAAAATGTACATGTATCTTCAAATGTTAGACACTTTGAGGTGGTTGCATCATTTACTTGACATAAAATGATTTGTCTGTGATTTTGCCCGTGCCGTGGTCAATGAGCGTCAGTTTCAGGCGGCACAGTGTCGGAGGGCACACTTCATACTTGATCCCAGTTATTTTAACAAACTCTTGGTCCTGTAGAGAGAAGAAGGAGAATTTCAAGTTACTCTTCAACAATGTCCTTAGACACAGGCCCTCAACACACTAACCCATTTTCTACTGCATCAGTGGAAGACAGATTAATCCACTTCCTAGTTTGGAGCAGAGTGGATATGATGTTCTTACCCTCAGCTCCATCTTCCTCCAGGGCTGTTTCTCCATGTTAATGGGGTACAGGTTGTTCCTGTTCACCGCCTCCACATACGCCTCGTGACCCTGGCGGAAATAGATTACCTGAGGGAGAGATGGTAACCGTATTTAGACCAGAGGAGGCTGGTGGGAGGAGCTAGAGGAGGACGGGCTCATTGAAATGGCTGGAATGGAATCATTGGAATGGAGTCAAAATTGGTTTCCATATGTTTCATATCGTTCCATTTATTCCACTCCAGCCATTACTATAGCTCCTCCCACCAGCCTCCTCTGATTTAGACCCCAGCAACTCACACATGAACACAACACAGTAGGGAAGCCATATGGTCCAGACAGAGCCACGTACCTCATCACCCATCTGGGGAACGAAGGGAGACTTCCTGGGAATGACATCAGTGATCCACGTTGAGGGTCTGAACTCGTTGGACACTTCTCTATTGATCGATGGCCTGGCTTTAGGCCGCTGTGATACAAATGAACATTTACGTAAGATTGATTTAATATTCAATAGGGAAGTGAAACTACTTTTTGTCATACCAGAGCAGGATGCAAGCATTAACAAACAAAATATGCAGCTTAGTACAGTGGCTAACCTTGGGCGTCTTGCTTTTGGGCTTCTTGGATTTCTGCTTGCTAGTCTGAGGAGGTGGTTCTTCCTCGTTACTTTGCTGCTTCTCCTCTTCCTCCTCATTATCTTCCTCTTCCTCCGAGCTGCTAAGCTGGCGGCGAACTCGTTTCCGTGATGACACGGGAGTGGAGGGCTGCAGGTTAATCCCAGCGTCCGCTGTCCAGTCAGAGTACTCACTGGACGAGTGGCTGTCATGGGCAACATAAGTTATGTTAGCATTAAACCAAGGGAAACAACAACAATATGACATATGTCATGTACCTCTTTGCAAGGAATCAAGAAAAGCAAAGAGCTTATCTGTACCTTGAACTGTCACTTTTCCATTCCTCTTCCTCATTGGATGAATCCAGTTCACTGCCCTCCATCTCATGGTCCTAGAGGTGGGGAAGGAGATCGCAAGATTTACCACTTTCACCAATATTCCAAATAGCTTATTATTCTCTAACGGACATGTCAAAAGCATATTTCTTATCACACAGGTTTGTAGAATATACCTCTGATGTTGCGGTCTCCTCTCCCTCCTCACAGGAGAACTCGATTAATTCCTCCACAATCCCATCTTTGCTCTGCTGGAAGACTTTTTGCTTTTTGCGGGACTGTGCACGTTTGATGCAAGGCACCTCATCTTCAGAATCATCCTGAGGCAGAAGCAAAGCAGAAATGCAGGTATGAGGTCAGTATCATTTTAAAATCCCTGTGGTCAGTCATGATTTTTAAATGATTAAATATGTCTACTTACTCTACAACTTCCGTATGTCACACGTCGTTTCTTTGCATTGTATAAGGCAATTTCCTCCTCTCCTTTTGTAATTCGGAAGTCATCCTGGCAACTACAAGATCATTTAGACATTTCATTTCAACTTCCATTTCAGGAATAATGTTCTAGAGATTAACCATTTAGGAGTAGACTTGTTTATATACACATGACATCCTTTGTCTTATATAACCAACTATACAAATGATCTCCCCCTGTTGTTTGAGGAATAGAGGGATGTCTGTCTCACCTGTAGACGCTGGATGAGAGCTCAGGTACCACCACCCTGCGTCTCCAGGCCTGCAGGTCCCGCTCCGTGGCCATCTGGCTGCGAGGGGCGTTCTGGTGCATCTGTCTCACCCCCTCCACCTGCCCACTGCGCCGCAGACCCACGTTAGGGGACGACTGCACCTCAGCTGCACCTCGCTCATTCACTGACGCTGGGTACAGAGCGGGAGAGGAGGGAACACAACATGACTGCTTTTCCAGGACCCAATCATTCATTCAACCATAAGGGATGAGAACGTATTTTCCATTTCCAATGGCGTCCTTAATCATCAACATGTAGGAATGTGAAGTATTTGAGCATGCCCAACAGCAATGGTAGTTTATGGAAAGGAAAAGAGAGCTAGGAGCATGTTATCTTGCATGCCACGACACAATACTGCAAGTAGAACTGACAGTGTGGGTGTGTTCTGGTACCTCTGAGTGGGGTGCTGGGGGCTGGGAATGCTGGGGCCTGTGCTGGAGCCTCTGCTGGGGCCAATGTCCCTGGTCTGCTCTGCCTGTCCTGCTGCTCCTGCAGCTGCCTGATGGCGTCATCCAGAACGCTGCGTCTGGCCGTGGCCTCCTCGTGGTCCGTGATCAGCTGACTGATCACCTGCTCCATCACCTCGCCATCACCTGAGGGGGACAACATGGACACTGCGTGAGGTAGTGGCAAGGGTCTTCAGTAACACACCCATTTACTCACTCGAACAGATTAACCAACCCACTCACAAACTCTCAGAGAAACAGATGGTAGTTGCACTGGTCAAACAGAACCCACCCATCCACACAAACACACGTGCCCAACTGCTCTTTTAGTGTGGGGATGTACTGGTCAAATAAACACCAGGATCATACTGCCTTACAACTGCCTCATAAATGCTGTATAAATAGTCAAATTAACTAAAAGATATGGTCAAAGCAGGCAGACTGAGACAGTCAAGTACTGAGGTAGTAACATACTTGTGGCGACATATCCCAGCTGAGGCACCAGGTGTTCGTCAGCAATGTTCTCCCTCCCGGGGACCAGCCGCTGGTATCTGGGGGGGTGGGGGTTCCCATCCACATCCACCAGGAAGGGAGGGGGCATGAGGTGGGGTGCCTGCTGGGTCTGCTCGTCCAGCACAAAGCCATTGGCGTCCCGGATCAGTGGCCGATAGTCAGTGTGGAAAAACACCTGATCTGGAAGCTGGACAAAGACAGGCAGTCAATCTCACTGGGACGTCATCTCAAACCATTGAATAGAGGACTCTTTCCTATGCATATATGTAGTAGGAGCTGCATCCTTACCTTCTCGTATGGCTTAGAGCTCCCAAAGCCGAATATGACCAGATGGCCGTGGGAGTCTGTGCAGGCAAAGCGCTGGCCGTCGGGAGTGAACTTGCAGTCAAAGACAGCACCATGACCCTGGCCCTCAATCTGTAGGGGAGACAGAGCAACCAAGATGGAGTCAGTCATAGTTGGAGAGAATGGATGTTACTGTTAAGTCTTCTGTGGTGCGTGGCTCCTCCTCACCATGTTGAAGTAGTGCTGTGTCTTTGTGCCCCGGACGATGTCCCAGATGAAGACGTTTCCGTCATGGCCAGCAGACAGCATGATCCTGGGGTCTGAGGGGTGGGGCTCCAGGACAAACACTTCAGCCTCGTGGCCCTGCACAGAGCATCACACAACTGTCAGGTCAACTCACTGTCTGATGGTATTCTGCAATTTGACTAAGTCATTGGCCAAAAATATTTGAGGAAATGCTCCTGAAAAGCATGCTTACAGTGACAAGGGGACAAACAGTAGAACAACTATAATGTCCTCCTGACCAAGGAATCTAGGACTATCCTTCAACTATTCTTCATATACAAATACAGTGCATTTGTAAAGTATTCAGACTCCTTCACTTTTTCCACATTTTGTTACCTTACAGCCTTATTCTAAAATGGATTTAAATGGTTTTTCCCCCTCATCAATCTACACACAATACCCCATAATGACAAAGCAAAAACAGGATTTTATTAATTTTTGCTAATTTATAAAGAAATAAAAAACAGATATCACATTTACATAAGTATTCAGACCCTTTCCTCAGTACTTTGTTGAATCACCTTTGGCAGCGATTACAGCCTCGAGTCTTCTTGGGTATGATGCTACAAGCTTGGCACACCTGTATTTGGGGAGTTTCTCTCATTCTTCTCTGCAGATCCTCTCAAGCTCTGTCAGGTTGGATGGGGAGTGTCGCTGCACAGCTATTTTCAGGTCTCTCCAGAGATGTTAGATTGGGTTCAAGTCCGGGCTCTGGCTGGGCCACTCAAGGACATTCAGAGACTTGTCCCGAAGCCATTCCTGCGTTGTCTTGGCTGTGTGCTTAGGGACGTTGTCCTGTTAGAAGGTGAACCTTCAACCCAGTCTGACGTCCTGAGCGGGTTTTCATCAAGGATCTCTGTACTTTGCTCCGTTCAGCTTTCCCTCGATCCTGACTAGTCTCCCAGTCCCTGCTGCTGAAAAACATCCCCACAACATGATACTGCCACCACCATGCTTCACCGTAGGGATGGTATTGGCTAGGTGATGAGCGGTGCCTGGTTTCCTCAAGACGTGACGCTTGGCATTCAAGCCAAAGAGTTCAATCTTGGTTTCATCAGACCAGAGAATCTTGTTTATCATGGTCAGAGAGTCCTTTAGGTGCCTTTTGGCAAACTCCAAGCGGGCTGTCATGTGCCTTTTACTGAGGAGTGGCTTCTGTCTGGCAACTCTACCATAAAGGCCTGATTGGTGGAGTGCTGCAGAGATGGTTGTCCTTCTGGAAGGTTCTCCCATCTCCACAGAGGAACTCTGGAGCACTGTCAGAGTGACCATCAGGTTCTTGGTCACCTCCCTGACCAAGGCCCTTCTCCCCCGATTGCTCAGTTTGGCCAGGCGGCCAGCTCTAGGAAGAGTCTTGGTGGTTCCAAACCTATTCCATTTAAGAATGATGGAGGCCACTGTGTTCTTGGGGACCTCCAATGCTGCATTAATGTTTTGGTACTCTTCCCCAGATCTGTGCCTCGACACAATCCTGTCTCGGAGCTCTACGGACAATTCCTTCGACCTCATGGCTTGGTTTTTGCTCTGACATACACTGTCAACTGTGGGACCTTATATAGACAGGTGTGTGCCTTTCCAAATCATGTCCAATCAATTGAATTTACCACAGGTGGACTCCAATCAAGTTGTAGAAACATCAAGGATAATCAATGGAAACAGGACGCACCTGAGCTCAATTTTGAGTCTCATAGCAAAGGGTCTGAATACTTATGTAAATAAGGTATCTGTTTTTAATTTTTAATAAATTTGCCAAAACAAATCTAAAAACCTGTTTTCGCTTTGTCATTATGGGGTATTAGTTGTAGATTGAGGATTATTATTTTTTACATCTATTTTAGAATAAGACCGTAACGTAACAAAATGTGGAAAAAGTGAAGGCGTCTGAATACTTTCCGAATGCACTGTAGTTGAAGGATGGAAATTGATCTACACTACTAGTAGTCACAGATACAAAATGTCCTCAGCTATCTTTGTGAGACAGCACTGTTCACAAATGGAATGTAAAACAATGCGATTGCTCCTACTTTAAGGATATGTAGCAGCTGGCCCGTGTAGGAGTTCCACACTTTGAGGATATGGTTGTTGACCGCTGTGATTACTGAGTTGTCATGGCGATCCCACGCTACCATGGTGACCTTGGGCTTGAAAAAGCTTTCCTCATTGGTTGCGTGTTCCGAGCTGAGGAGAAAGTTCATATGAAAGGAGGAAAACATAGATGCAAGTATGTAATGGTGCCGTCAAGCTGTTCATTCCTAACCCTGGTAGAGTGGCGTTCATGTTGAGAAGAAGGCTCCTCCACTGCTGACGCTGAGTCAGCCTCCAGATGCGTGCTGTGCCATCTCGACTGCCACTCACAAACCTACGAGACGAGGCAAACCAAGACAATGAACTCTAGACCAGTGGTTCCCAACCAGTGGTACAATGACCCCTGGGGGTACTTGGCCTATCCACAGGAGGTACTTGATAAGACTCATAAGAGCATAGGGTTACTGGTCAAATGCAAATGAGGGGGTACTTCAGGGGTACTCCAGGCAGAGCAAAATTCAGTTTGTGGTACAGTGACGTGAAAAAGGTTGGGAACCACTACACTATTTTTTCACCTTTATTTAACCAGGTAAGCCAGTTGAGAACAAGTTCTCACTTACAACTGCGACCTGGCCAAGATAAAGCAAAGCAGCGCGATAAAAACAACAACACAGTTACATATGAGATAAACAAAACGTACAGTCAATAACACAATAGAAAATCTATATAAAGTATGCTTTAACAAAGTAAAACTGTTGGGCTAAGGTGAGTGCTTCACCTAATCACATTTATCATACCTTTCTCCTGAGTGGCAAAATTGGATGCTGTCAACCTTGTCCTAAAAATGAGAACATATATTGACAACAATTATTAGAATATTACATCAACGTTGTTTGTATTTATTGTAAATTAAAGCTTGAATGGATTTAATGATGATTTGTTTTAGGAACTCATTCTTCCTTGTGTTCAGCTGTTCGCTGCTATGTGATGGGTTATCTATTCTTCAAGGGATCTTACCGTGTGTTCATGAAGCTCTGATATTTTTTCAGGGTTCCCACCTCCCAGGTAATAAATTCTGATGACATCGTCAGTACTTCCCGTCGCTAAGAACATGCCACCTAAAATGTTTTATAAAACACAAAAACTACTATAAATGTATCCCAATTTGGTTCAGACCCTCTGTATACCCATGTTAAAATAACTTGTACTTGTAACAGTTGGTGAGGTAAAAAACTAGATCAATACTTCTGTTGAAAATCATATCAGCTATGGTGAGTATAACATGTACTGTATGATCAATTTGTTGAAACGTTTTTAAAGATCCAAAGCATTCTTTTACATAAAACTGCTATCTTGACATCGTTACCTGGACTGAATGATGAGCACACCATCTGAACTCCCGGCCTGGGTCGCTCTGTAAACTTCTGCGGGCGATCACTTTACAAACAGAGTGTAAATGTTTCAGACTTTTGATGTAATTTTCAGGATGCAATTATCTTGATCAAATTACCAGCAGTTGAAATTCACCTGAAATTTATGTTATTGACATCCCACTGCCAAAAGCAGATTGTTGCATCAGTTCCAGTGGACACCAGGTATCTCTTTGAGCCCTTGGCAAACGGTGAGAACTGAGGACAGATGTAATTCACCCAGTTAAATGCTGTTCCAGATAGACAGACTTATGCACCCACATCTATACTGAGGGATGTCTACAGTACAGAGAGCAATCACACCAGTGGTCCAATGTGAGCTGCTGAAGCAATCAGGTTTAGTCTTTGTATTTATTATGGATCCCCATTAGCTGCTGCCACTCTTCCTGGGGTCCTGCAAAATTCAGGCACTCCTCTTTGCAGATCTTCTCCAAGTCATTAAAGGTTTTGAGGCTGACGTTTGGCAACTCGAACATTCAGCTCCCTCCACAGATTTTCTATGGGATTAAGGTCTGGAGACTAGCTAGGCCACTCCAGGACCTTAATGTGCTTCTTCTTGAGCCACTCCTTTGTTGCCTTGGCCGTGTGTTTTGGGTCATTGTCATGCTGGAATACCCATCCACAACCCATTTTCAATGCCCTGGCTGAGGGAAGGAGGTTCTCACCCAAGATTTGACGGTACATGGCCCCGTCCATTGTCCCTTTGATGCGGTGAAGTTGTCCTGTCCCCTTAGCAGAAAAACACCCCCATGTTTGACGGTGGGGATGGTGTTCTTGGGGTCATAGGCAGCATTCCTCCTCCTCCAAACACGTTGAGTTGATGCCAAAGAGCTTGATTTTGGTCTCATCTGACCACAACACTTTTACCCAGTTCTCCTCTGAATCATTCAGATGTTCATTGGCAAACTTCAGACGGCCCTGTATATGTGCTTTCTTGAGCAGGGGGACCTTGCGGGCGCTGCAGGATTTCAGTCCTTCACGGCGTAGTGTGTTACCAATTGTTTTCTTGGTGACTATGGTCCCAGCTGCCTTGAGATCATTGACAAGATCCTCCTGTGTAGTTCTGGGCTGATTCCTCCGTTCTCATGATCATTGCAACTCCACGAGGTGAGATCTTGCATGGCGCCCCAGGCCGAGGGAGATTGACAGTTATTTTGTGTTTCTTCCATTTGCAAATAATCGCACCAACTGTCGTCACCTTCTCACCAAGCTGCTTGGCGATGGTCTTGTAGCCCATTCCAGCCTTGTGTAGGTCTACAATCTTGTCCCTGACATCCTTGGAGAGCTCTTTGGTCTTGGCCATGGTGGAGAGTTTGGAATCTGATAGATTGATTGCTTCTGTGGACAGGTGTCTTTTATACAGGTAACAAGCTGAGATTAGGAGCACTCCCTTTAAGAGTGTGCTCCTAATCTCAGCTCGTTACCTGTATAAAAGACACCTGGGAGCCTGAAGTCTTTCTGATTGAGAGGGGGTCAAATACTTATTTCCCTCATTAAAATGCAAATCAATTTATAACATTTTTGACATGTATTTTTCTGGATTTTTGTTGTTGTTATTCTGTCTCTCACTGTTCAAATAAACCTAACATTAAAATTATAGACTGATAATTTCTTTGTCAGTGGGCAAACGTACAAAATCAGCAAAGGATCAAATACTTTTTTTCCTCACTGTACATCATGGGATAAAAAGTGCTGTGTGCAGTTATCCCATTACACTGTTGCATGGTGTCCTACATTTGCAAAACTGTGGACAGCATTAGCTTACATACTCTTTGCCCGGCTAACATTACAGTCAGATAGAAACATAATAAGGGTGTTGGAGGAATATGGAAGCTCCTACCTGTAGGGAGGTAATAGAGCCACTGTGCCCCTGTAGGACAGCCATAGGGGCACAGGTACGAAGGCACCACACTCGGATGGTTTTGTCACAACTGCCAGCCGCCATCAAGGTATTCTCAAAGCTGACAGCCAGGTCTGAGATCTCAGCAGAATGTCCTCTCAGTGTGGAGTGAAGCCTCCCGTCAAACGAAGACCATATTTTCACCAAGCAGTCGTCCGAGCCCTTGAAAGTAGGTTTGACAAGGTAGATAAAGTGATGAGCCTCAGGTATACCACCTAACATGATTTCCCCCAAGAACTTTATCTTTATGATGACACAACTCACAGTGAAAATCCTGAGACCGGTTCGATCAAAAGCGATGCAGTAAACTGCAGACAGATGACCCAGAATCCTCCTGTGCATCCGCATGTGCTGATAGTTGCTCACAGGGTTCACAGTGCTGAACCGTTGAGTACCTGTCAGCTCCCTTCCTCTGTAAACCTCCACTGTGAAGGACAAAACACTATAATTTAGAGTCCAAACATGATAACAACAGAATCATGTTAACAGAAAATAAGCAAACATTGAATTTACAGTACCGGCATCAATAGAAAATAATAATGTGTGAACATGTCAATCCTGTGTCAGGGAATACCCACCTAGATTTGGAGGATCCTTGCAGGTCAAATGCATCTCTGGTGGTCTCCCTCTGTGCAGGGCAGCAAATGACGAGCCTTTCCTCCGAACATTGCCGTAATCTGGAAGAGGTGGAAAGAAAAAGGTAATTTAATAATTTCATTTTACAATTCGATTTCAGAACGAATAGTTGCTGATGTATACATTTAGAATTCACGCTCAGACAAGATACATGTAAAGTTCTGCACCTTTTGAAGTTCTGAGTAAGGACTGCCTCCCGGTTCCCAGTAGGGAATGTACGCCTGGAACACATGATGGCACCTCTTTGTCCAGAATCGGCCCAATCTGTTTACAGATCTGCATCAAATGGTCAGGTGCAATGTGTCTGTTGGCTGCAACCTATGGGATCAAACATAGTGTTGATGAGCAGAATGACTCATCCAGCTTTCATTGTTACAAGTTAAACCATTATGTATGCTTTGTTCCTTCTTCAATCAAGCCATCACAACATTTGTAGGTTGGGTAGCGGTCAAGAGCGTTAGGCCAGTAACCGAAAGGTCGTTGGCTCAAATCCCAGAGAAGACTAGGTGAAAAATCTGTCGATGTGCCCTTGAGCAAGGCACTTAACAATAATTGCTCCTGTAAGTCGCTCTGGCGCATCTGCTAAATGACTAAACATTTTTTACAAAATGTAAATAATGATGACACCAGGAACCATGAAACTACAGAACTGCAACCACATTGTCTATTTATTATTTGGATCAAAGTCTTTGTCTAATATTTCTGTATACTGTCAGCCAGTGGCACTGTAAGAAAATATAATTTCTTAATTTTTCTAGGGGCAAAAAAATAACTGACATAACTTGGGTTCTTCATGTACATCTGATCTCGTTCCACCAGTGTGCTATATTCTTTGTGGGCAGAACGTTTTATGTAAAACACATTAATCAACCGACGAATCACAACACAGGTTACAAGGATAATAACGCAACGACAGCCTTTCTAGGACGTGGATTGGTCAACAGTGGTGTCCTGACGTAGCCAGAACCCCAAGAGTCCCCACCCTATCTGCAGTACAACAGATACATTTATAAATGCTCTATCAAATTTGTTTCTATACTACAGTGTCAAGCTTTCGAGACATACGAAAATACGTAATCCTACATACCGGTAAAAATTAAAATCAGGTTATTATGTAACAAGAATGTAACAACGATTAAATCTGAATAGAACAAAGAGTAAATGGCCCAAGCATGGACACACAACGTGGCTGTCATTCAACAATAACAGACATTCGACAATGAGTTTACATCTATTGATCATAAACTTACCAAATCTTCGTAAGATCTTGGATGTTCATTTCCTTGCCAGTCTAATCTGCAGGGTAAAAGCTATCCCAAATAGAGCGTATTAGTGTAAATCACAACAATGAAGATGCTAGAAATACTGCCAGAAATTAAGTTAGTAAAAACGTGTGATGTCAAACGAGTGAGGCGGCCAGAGAAGCATTAAAAGTCTTGAGTGAGACAAGTTCTACGTTCCAGTCCAATCGGGATCACTAGCTACATACACCGACCGCAGAACGCTGCCGGAATACACACCTGATACTCTTCTAGTTCGCTCGCTAGAACCTGCAATTGATTAAAACAAATAGGTGTTTCGAATGTGCTGCTTTCATAAACTATTAGCCAACAATTTTGAATAGTAAGAAATTATGTCAATAAGGCACGCCAGCTTACCTCAGCCGCACTCCGACATGGACCCGTTGTCAGAAAACGTGAAATTAGGTAATATAGCTCTGTAAGTGAATAGAATACAATAGTAACCACAATTGGATATCAATTAAATCAAGCTTTATCTATAATTTAAGCAATGAATTAGGCAACTATATGCGCCTTACCCGATTCAAGGAGCGAAATATTCCGACTTTTGGCCATTGAATCTGCCGTGATTTGGTGGGTGTACAATAGTAAACTAACTTTATGGATAGTGAGAGTATGATATATTTATTTAATTTCGGTTACACTGCTCTGACCCCCTCCACGGTTGCTCCCGCTTTCTAATCAGCCTGTTTTCAGTCGCCATTGGAAGGATGAGGCCTCAGCAATACTAGTTACTTCCGCCACAGCAGAGGAAATAGGGGGTGGGGAACAACTCTTTATTTTTTGTTCGATAACAACAAAGACAAATCGAAGCTCTCCCGCTAAATGCACTGATATTCTCTTTAAATACATTCGAAAGCTTTGGATCAATGTAAAGAAAGAAAGCTATTTATATATGCGGAATTATAGTTTAAAGACCGCATTGTTGTTTTTTCTTCGACAAGGTCGTGTCTTATTGATGACGTCACTTGTGATGGCGAGACAAAAATTGTGTGGCGTGTCAATGTCACATTTTATTATCCTTTATTTTACTCGGTGCGATTTGTCTTTGATGCAATTACTTCGCTACACTATTTAGACTTTGTTTCAATAACTCAACTAAATAAAGAAAAACATCCCTGTGTGGTATGTAGGCAAATGGGCCATGCAATGCTGATGAGAACAATGCATTACAGCCTGTGCAGTGCGCAATAGGCTTCAATTGCATTGACAAGTTGGCGAAATACTGTATTAGTGCTATGACATTTAAAAAATATATATATATTTTTAGACATTTGTCTGGAGATATGACATGATAGACCCGCTTTTCTTACGTCATGTAAATAAAGTATATTGTCCTCCTGTCGCGATGTGGTGTCTGTCTATCCTGCACTCGCATTTGAGGGGTCTTGACTAGATGGGACAATCCGCTAATGTCAGAAATTATTTTTTTGTAGCAGGGCAGGAGAATTTACGTTGCAGGTTAGGAAAATTAACGTAGCAGGTTAGGATAATTAGATAAAGGTTTGTTAAAACGCAAAAATGATCCCGATGCTATTCGAATATGCAAGTTTTGATGTCACTGACATTAGCTGCATCCTTTCAAGACGTTACCCATTTCAGGCTATGCATTTATGGTACAACAAATGTAATTTGTGTAATAAGAAAAAGTAATATTGAAAAAAACAATGATAACACTATGCAACAGATAAAGTTTAATAAGTAGGTAAAACAGAGTAGTTATTTATAAAAAATCTTAACTTCATGGATAGTTAACGTTATTAATTGTTTACTCATTGGTTTAAAATAGTACAGGGGGCTTTTCTTGAGCGGATGATCGGGGCCGGAACATAATTATAAACAATGTGTACTCTGCAAATTGACACAAGAAGCCCAATGTATCATTGTAGGCTATTCGAATGTATTTTTTTGGGCTCAGAAAACTTTGGGGGAATAAACTCGACGACGGGAGCAAATTTGGTCCAAGGTCCACCAGTTGACAATCCCTGAAATATTGCGATTGTCATGCAGCTGCTTGTCGAATAGCCTACTGAGTTGGTGTATGGCTGCACTCACTGGCACTAGCTAATACTAGAATTGCAGACCTATGCTTAATATTTGCAAGCACCGAAAAACAATCACACATTTTCAACAATATGGTATAAGAGAGATATTACATAGTATTTAATCAGTGACTGTCTTGTGAATTAGAATATCATGTGTTTACGGTTTTCATTTCACTTGTGAGCAATAAGCGAACAGAGAAAACAAAGAAATTACAACCATTTTTTATTCAATTGGCATGTTTATACCAATCACACAGATACAGCTACAAAAAAAATAAAAGAGAAACTGTACATTGGTACATAAAATCCTAAAACCACATGGAAATCTTGCTATGGCTGTATGTTCACTTGAAAGATTAAGTGAAAGTACAGTCAATGTTTATCAGTATCCTCAAAAGGATAAGCTACAATCAGTATGTTTAACACTGTAATGCATTTCATGTTATTAGCTAAAAACACATGAACCATCCTCACAACTTTCCATTACATTACATACTGCATAGAAATTACGAAAAAACCCTAGTTTCACAGCAGCTATATCAAATGTTATTGCAATACCGTCACCAAACAGAGACAAAAACCATTTCACATAATGCACAGGCCTGATGAAAAATCCAGTACATGTACTAGGGAGGATGATGAACCATAACTGTGGATTCATAATACGGTGTGGATAAGAGTTAATATTCATAGAGCACAGCTTAAAACAGAATCACCAGCTTCCTACCTATTATAAACAATAAAACAAGTATTATTGTGTATAAACCCCCCAACCCTTCCCCATACAATACAGGTTAAATAAACTGTCCCTCATAAAGCCTATGGAATGTTAGTCTCAGACAACTCTCCCAGTTGAATAACAAGTTCATGATATTGGCATGATTGCATGTCATTGCTACAAACCTGCACTCCTCCCTCTTCGACAACTGAACCAGACCACAAAAGAAAAGGGAAACACACAATGACCATAACTTTTCTTCCAGAGGTGTAAAAAAAAAAAAAAAATATGTGTTTCTACAATCTTACTACTACACAACCTGCTTTTTCTTAAGAAAATAGTTGATAAAAATATTCATCTGCATTGTACAAGAAAGGAGGTACAGGGAGCACTGGCAAAAGGGTAAGGATGTTATTCTGTCTCATCCTCCTCTTTCTCGGGCTCATCTGCCTCTTCTGCTGCCTCCTGGAGAATGAAAAAATTACATTTTCACATTATAGGACAGTCCTTTTAAGTCTTGTTTACACAATATTTTTGTGTGTGGGGGACAAACAGCTGCAATTCCAATTATAATAGTTGGTCTGTTTGTAATACCTAATACTCCTGATTTTGAATATCGTATACATCACTGGCGTGGCATTTCGCATAATTGAAACTAAGCCAACAAGTCTTACCTCCTCAGCTTTGGCCTCTCCGTTTTCTGCCGGTGCTGCTTCTTCCTCCTCAGGATCTTCTTTCTTCTCCTCAGGCTTGGCCTTCTCTACCACCTCCTTTACCTTTTTGGGCTTGGCTGCTGCCTTGACTGGTGTCTACAAGAAACAGAAAAACATTAGATACATTTCAATGTACAAATGCATAGTATGTATAATAATTGAGTGGTTTTTCGTTTCAGCAAAAGCTGACAATTACATTTGTTTTTACCTTTGCCTTTGCCTTTGGCTCTGCTTTAGCCGGAGTAGTAGGTTTCTGAAAAATAATGAATATTAAATAATTAGTCCAATTACATTTACAGTTTCGTCATTTAGGAGACGCTCTTATCCAGAGCGATTTACAGTTAGTGAGTGCATACATTTTCATACTTTTTTCCCATACAATTACAAATACACAATAGCATCTACTCATTGAAAACAAATAGGATATACAACATAAATATGATAACATATAGTAAACTTACAGATGACAACCTTGTGGATCTCCTCTTTGGCTGGTGAAAAATAAAAAGTTAAATCAGTTATTGCAGGAAAATGTATTCAGAATAGACTGAACAAATATACAGGAACAAATATAAAATTGTACAAGAGCAAAAAATACTAACCTCGACTTCAGTGTCATGATTTGCCTGTGAGGGGGAGAAGTAAAAATCTTAGTAATAACCAAGAACAACAATTCCACATTCATGGATCGGGAGCGGCAGGGAGAAGTGGGTGTGTAACGCTGGGGGGGGGGGGGGGGTACAAACTGTACCCCCACCGCTCCACCCCCAAATTACAGAATAATTATGTAACCTGAAAGTGTGTGGGGGAGGGTAATACATTTACATTACTATGCCATTTGACTTTTCCCATTGTCAGGGTGCAAAATGGAGCCTTTGTGGTACCAATTACTGTGAGAGCGACAAGTAAAACAGTACGTTATAGTTAGGCTTTAGTAGCCTACACGCATAAAGGCCAATAGCTGCCCCTCCCCCATCCACCAGCAAGAGACCGAGACTTGTTACATGAAGGCATCCATCTACCCGTTACGTCAACCAGTCTACTGTATGTTCCCGCCATTAGTTGAATATCTATAATTCCCTGATTACATTTTAGTCATTTAGCAGACGCTCTTATCCAGAGCGACTTACAGTTAGTGAGTGCATACATTTCTCAACCCACAACCCTGGCGTTGCAAGCGCCATGCTCTACCAATTGAGCTACAGGATCCCAGTTTACCCCTATACGATCCCCTATGCGCTGTCGTGCATGTCCACAGAAATTCGCTGTTACGTAATGCAACATTTGTTAGGGAAGCAAAGACAGGGAATGCGCACAAACAAATAGCAAATCCTCAAAAATGTAAAAAGTGACCACCTATTCTCAGGTGGTGGTTTTCTTTAGAATTACTTCCTCTATGACCCCATTAAAGTGATAAATGGCGCTGAGTAGTCGATGCCTTTCCTATTTGCAAGGGCTGCCATGACACCTCAAAGACGGTACCTTTCCATGCCATAGGGTGTCGCGCATTACAATACGCTTTACTGCACACAGGACAAAGTGATAATATAGGATGCCACAAGCATGGGCTATTAAAAGTATTTGAATACAAACGTGAACCCAATATGTAGGCGATTAAAGCACTCCCAATATTCACAAAATATCCTATACCTCATGCACGCATTTCTGCAATGGCAACATGTAACGTTAGCTTACATACATCGCTGGTGGGTTACACCCCTTTGTCTGATCTCATTGCTGAGAAGGCTATTAAGCTACTTTACATTCATGAAAGACCCGATATGCGTCAAATTAAATTATATGATTAAGTTACTTATATAAAAAAACACAAGCTGCGATAGTTTATCATGTACAGGTTATTAAAAGGAGAAAGTGAGATCGAATGCAAAATGTTACCGCACTAAGTAAAAAGGCGCCACTTCCATATCAACAAGACAGACACACTAAAACACATTCAGACTTTAGAGCAAAAGTGTTACATTATATCAAGCATATTTTAGCGTACATGCAATTGTTGCATGCATGTATTTATAAAACACTTCCTGTGTGAAATTATACATCGTAAAATAAGGTTTAAATTAAAAAGATACACATTCCAACTTACTTTGCTTCTTTTCGGCATGGCTGCTTTGCTTGTATTGTCTAGAAAACTAGAGCACAAATTAGCCTTGTCAGTTACTGAAAATTCTGTGCAGACTTCTGAACGTGCTCGATGTAACTCAGTCAGTACCTTCAGAACACACTGTAACTAACATAAATATTCCATCAGTAGGCCTACGTACAGAAACTAGCTGAAACCGGATTGGATCCCCCTTCTCTATATTGTATTCCTTATCCTACCAACCTGACGGGCAATTTATTCTCCGCCCCTTGTTGCCATTGATTGGCTTTAAAATCTAGGCAACAGATTTTTAAACCATAGCAAGTTACCTGTATGGGTAGGTCTGTATGCCAATCAGTCGTTCAAATTTTACTAAAGGGGTGGGAATAGCTGGATTCAAAGTTATGAGTTATTTTAGTTGATATTATATTAGAATAATGTACACATACTGTAAATGGTCCTTATAGAATTGTCAGTATTAATTTTATTGAATAATGTAATCTAGAAAATTTAGCACATTTGGATAATGCATTTATATATTACATATTTTTATAATGATTTGAAGTTAATCAAATATGCCGTATTTGAATAGATACGTTTCTAATGTGAAATTCAGCCCATAGTTCAGCCTGGATGTGGCGTCCCTTTATGATGAGCGCAGCAGCAACAAAGGTTGATAAGAAAAAATGGCTGCCGGGTGCGCTTGGTTCCTGGTGTTGGGATCTGTCTTTTTGTGCAATCTCGTCAAAACTCTGTTGCCGACCATTTCCTCTTTCGTAAGTAGAGGTTATTTAGGCATTGGTCATGTGAGAAATGCAGGGTTGGCTTATAAATCATGTAATGTTTTGGCAGATTTGCCCAGGTTAGGTTAGCTAGCTAGCTAGCTATTTCACGTCTCGCGCCCCTCACAAACAACAACGAAGCTAACCAACCATTCCATCCTGTTGGCAAATGGGTCAATTGTTACATTGTATAATGGAAGGTGCGTTAGACTGATAACTGCCAGACAGAACCAGGTAGATAATGGCTTGTAGTTCTCTATTTGGCACAGATAAAAATATCAACCATAACATGTAAATAAATCTGATGAGGTCTGATGGTATTTCCAGTCTATATGCATAGAATATGTATTGTTACAAACTGGGTGGTTCGAGCCCTGAATGCTGATTGGCTGAAAGCCATGGTATATGAGACTAAATACAGTGGCTTGGGAAAGTATTCACCCCCTTCGCATTTTTCCTATTTTGTTGCCTTACAACCTGGAATTAAAATTGATTTTTTGGGGGTTTGTATAATTTGATTTACACAACATGCCTACCACTTTGAAGATGCAAAATATTTTTTATTGTGACACAAAAATAAGACAATAAAACAGAACCTGAGTGTGCATAACTATTCACCCCCCAAAGTCAATACTTTGTAGAGCCACCTTTTGCAGCAATTACAGCTGCAAGTCTCTTGGGTTATGTCCCGTGTAGCTCAGTTGGTAGAGCATGGCGTTTGCAATGCCAGGGTTGTGGGTTCGTTTCCCACGGGGGACCAGTATGAAAAATAAAACTGTATGCACTCACTAACTGTACAGTGAGGGAAAAAACTATTTGATCCCCTGCTGATTTTGTACGTTTGCCCACTGACAAAGAAATGATCAGTCTATAATTTTAATGGTAGGTTTATTTGAACAGTGAGAGACAGAATAACAACAACAAAAATCCAGAAAAACACATGTCAAAAATGTAATAAATTGATTTGCATTTTAATTAGGGAAATAAGTATTTGACCCCCTCTCAATCAGAAAGATTTCTGGCTCCCAGGTGTCTTTTATACAGGTAACGAGCTGAGATTAGGAGCACACTCTTAAAGGGAGTGCTCCTAATCTCAGCTTGTTACCTGTATAAAAGACACCTGTCCACAGAAGCAATCAATCAGATTCCAAACTCTCCACCATGGCCAAGACCAAAGAGCTCTCCAAGGATGTCAGGGACAAGATTGTAGACCTACACAAGGCTGGAATGGGCTACAAGACCATCGCCAAGCAGCTGTCAATCTCCCTCGACCTGGGGCTCCATGCAAGATCTCACCTTGTGGAGTTGCAATGATCATGAGAACGGTGAGGAATCAGCCCAGAACTACACGGGAGGATCTTGTCAATGATCTCAAGGCAGCTGGGACCATAGTAACCAAGAAAACAATTGGTAACACACTACGCAGTGAAGGACTGAAATCCTGCAGCGCCTGCAAGGTCCCCCTGCTCAAGAAAGCACATATACAGGGCCGTCTGAAGTTTGCCAATGAACATCTGAATGATTCAGAGGAGAACTGGGTGAAAGTGTTGTGGTCAGATGAGACAAAAATCGAGCTCTTTGGCATCAACTCAACTCGCCGTGTTTGGAGGAGGAGGAATGCTGCCTATGACCCCAAGAACACCATCCCCACCGTCAAACATGGAGGTGGAAACATTATGCTTTGGTGGTGTTTTTCTGCTAAGGGGACAGGACAACTTCACCGCTTCAAAGGGACGATGGACGGGCCATGTACCGTCAAATCTTGGGTGAGAACCTCCTTCCCTCAGCCAGGGCATTGAGAATGGGTCGTGGATGGGTATTCCAGCATGACAATTACCCAAAACACACGGCCAAGGCAACAAAGGAGTGGCTCAAGAAAAAGCACATTAAGGTCCTGGAGTGGCCTAGCCAGTCTCCAGACCTTAATCCCATAGAAAATCTGTGGAGGGAGCTGAAGGTTCGAGTTGCCAAACGTCAGCCTCGAAACCTTAATGACTTGGAGAAGATCTGCAAAGAGGAGTGGGACAAAATCCATCCTGAGTTGTGTGCAAACCTGGTGGCCAACTACAAGAAACGTCTGACCTCTGATTGCCAACAAGGGTTTTGCCACCAAGTAGTAAGTCATGTTTTGCAGAGGGGTCAAATACTTACTTCCCTCATTAAAATGCAAATCAATTTATAACATTGTTGACATGCGTTTTTCTGGATTTTTTGTTGTTGTTATTATGTCTTCACTGTTCAAATAAACCTACCATTAAAATTATAGACTGATCATTTCTTGGTCAGTGGGCAAAAGTACAAAATCAGTAGGGGATCAAATACTTTTTTCCCCTCACTGTATGTACACCACTTTTCCATTATTTATTTTTTATAATTTTTTGAAACAGGTATTTTTTTCATTTCACTTCACCAATTTGGACAATTTTGTGTATGTCCATTACATGAAATCCAAATAAAAATCCATTTTAATTACAGGTTGTAATGCAACAAAATAGGAAAAACGCAAAGGGGATGAATACTTTTTGGATACCATGGGTATGACAAAACATATTTTTACTGTTCTAATTACGTTTATAATAGCAATAAGGCACCTCAGGGGTTTTGTGGTATATGGCCAATATACCATGGCTATGGGCTGTATCCAGGCGCTCCATATTGCATAAGAACAGCCCTTAGATGTGGTATTGTGGCCATATACCACGCCCCTCGTGCCTTATTACTTTAGTAAGCAATACACTCCTAAACCAGGTGTTGCATGTTCTCATGCAATAAACCATAAATGACCCAAGGAGGCAGAAAAATACTTGTCACTTGCCAAGGCAATTTCATTACAAAGAAAATTGACTTTTAAATGAGTAAAACATTTGGTACCCTACATGTAAATGCAATTCATGAACATCATTGTATCTGAACAACACATTTAACAGGATGACGTACAGCGTTTATAGGACATAATACACCTTTCCATTACCTTTGCACTTTTTGTTGCAGTAATGTACTGGTAACTAGCTCTCAAACTCTAGGCGGCATTCTGCCTTCTCCTTACGGTTTCAGCCATTAGCTCCGTCCACGACTACCTCGTGAACTACAATCCTGATGCTGTGTTTTAACGTTTAGAAGCACCAATAATCATCGCTCACGATACGGCTTTCGAAACATATGACCCTTATCTTTCATCAGCAAGAAAGAATGCTTCAAATAAAAAATATACACTTACTGTAGCAGTTTTGCACGGATCCATACAAGTATGGGTGCCTTCATCCGACGAAACTACATTTCCCGAGTTACGCATACACACTAGGTGTTCGGAGCATGCTATATAGCTAGTTAGCACTGGGTGGCCGCCTCTTGGCTTCCATAAACAAGCGCTGTAACATGGAGATATGGCCGTGTGGGAACACTGACCCTAAACCTATCAAGGTGTGTATCAATTTAACCTTTATTTCTCACTGATATGAAAGATATATGTTCAGATTGAGCGTCGGGGCTCTTAACAAAGCTCCACAGTATAGAAGACGCCTTCGTCCAATGACTCTTATGTGTAATGTAAGGAAACTTAGAGTCATGATCAAGGGCTAACTGGTAACCATCCCAAAGTTATCTTCTATCAGAAACCAGGCTAAACCTGTAGTGTATTAGCCCTGCTGCAGCCTGATGGTGCTATTCTTCCTTAGTATTTTGTCATTTGCCATTGGAAATGACAAAAGACGTAAGGAATAATAGCGCCATCTGGTGGCAGCAGGACTAGTAGTGTGTGTTAGCTAAGTTCTAGCAAAATATAAAATGTAATGTTTGTCTGTGAAGCTGTCGAAGGTCCTCCAGAAAGATGCTGAGCAGGAGAGGGATGAGATCCAGGAGCACAACTCCGTTAGCATGATGGATGAGTTCTCCATACGCTAGACTACATTTTTACATTTACATTTTAGTCATTTAGCAGACGCTCTTATCCAGAGCGACTTACAGTTAGTGAGTGCATACATTGTTTTTTTTTTATACTGGCCCCACGTGGGAATCGAACCCACAACCCTGGCGTTGCAAACGCCATGCTCTACCAACTGAGCTACACGGGACTAGAGCGCAAAATCAACAAGATGACTGACAAGCTGAAGACACATGGTAAGAGAGAGACAATTTAAATGGATGTCCACACTACATTTTCCACTTTTATAGACAAGGTTTTTTCTGGATAAAAAAGGGGCTTATGTGGTGGGTGTGGTAGGGGGCGTGGCAATGGGCGTGGTCGGGCCAATCACGGCTGAATTTCTCTACACCCCTGTCTTGGCTGTGTAGAGAAATGTTTGCATTTTTAAGCCAATTTCTAAAATTTTCTCCATGGAGTTGAGATACATTTTTTGAGTTTTAAAGCTAATAACATGCGATTCCACATTCTGCCATGGAGCTGAGGGAAAATTGTGCAGTTTTAAAGCTTATTTCTTGCAATTCTATGC